TGCAGGGGACACAGGTTCGTGCCCTGGTCCAGGAAGATCCCACATGCCGCGGAGCGGCTAGGCCTGTATGGCATGGCTGCTGAGCCTGCGCGTCCGGAGCCTGTGCTCCGCAACGGGAGAAGCCACAACAGTGAGAGGCCCGCGTACCGCAAAAAAAAAAAAAGAAAAGAAAAGAAAAGAAACCAGCTGAGGCAGTTACCTGACTTTGGAAGACGGCGGTCAAGGCTCCGAGGGCACAGCTCCCCCATGGTCCCAGGCCTGAATTGCCTGCAGTGCGATCCACTGACAAGGGGCCTGGGGAACATCCTCCTTCCCTCTGACACGGAAAGGCGGCTGGTTCTGAGAGGTTTAGCTCTGTGTTTGAGCTGAAAACCTAAGCCATGTCCAGATGGACAGATGTGCATCTGTGGACATGTGCAGGCAGGCAAGGAGCTAAGGCTGAGGCTTTAGAATCCGATGGTGCAGGCTTTAAATCTCAATTCATTTTCTTTACCAGCTATGTGCTCTGGGGAAAACTAGTTCTCTGGCCAATTTCTCATTTGTTTAAAAAATAAAAATTTGTAGGGAATTCCCTGGTGGTCCGGTGGTTAGGACTCCATGCTTTCACTGCTGAGGTTCTGAGGGCCCAGGTTCAATCCCTGGCCGGGGAACTAAGATCCAGCAAGCTGCATGGTGTGGCCTAAATAAATAAATTTTTTTTAATGAAAAAAAAAATATTGTGCAGGGTTTTTGTGAAAACTAGCAGTGTGTGTGTGTGTGTGTGTGTGTGTGTGTGTGTGTAGTCCCTGATTCACAGCAGGCCTTCAGTATGTTGTCATCACCATCATCATTCATCAGTGACTGTAACACTCAAATTTGTATCATTGAAGAAATTTGGGTTGTTGAGCATTTGTGTTTTAACTTATAAATTTCTCATAATACAAATGCCATTTGCAGGCCTGAGAAATAAAAATCTCCTCAAGAAACTCTTATTTGGACTCAGGGTTTTGAGCACTTTGTGTAATACATAACCTTCTCCCTGCTCTGTACTTGCCCACTTTTCTGCCAATTTTGGAATAATACCAAATGTTTCCTTTCATGATGCATCATGAAATGGCCAACTTGTTGATGCAGAGTGCTACATCTTAGGGTTTTGTCCTCTGTCTTTGCATCTCTAGTCACATTGGTGAGCACTTTCACTTGATGATAAATTATTTTGTGAACATGCGTAGATTGCCATTTGAAGTAAACCTGTCTACGTTCATGAGACATATATAATCACAGGACAGTATAATTTGATCTGTAATTTAATGGCTCTATGGAACTTTTAAGAGCTGTCAAACAATAGCATGGTGAGAAAATTGTATAAATTTGTATAACAACTTGAAAATTGTATAACAACTGCTGTGAAATAAGTGCCATTGCCATTGAAAGTTACCATGTAATTTACTTTAAATGGTGAACTGTAGGCCTCCGTCTGCTTAATATTCTGATACCTGAGACCACAGAGTTCCAGTTCTGTAAAGGAATGGAGCGAACCCGTGGAGTTAGACGTAACATGATTTTACCTGAAATTCTCTGAGATTGGAGGGTGGTTGATTCATATGAGAATAAGGCCATTTAAGTGATATCAACCTGTATATTCTATACTAGTAAGAGATCTGTAAGCTTATATCATAAATCACTCTGTAAAATGTATTAAGCCTACATCTGTATTCGTTGAAGTCTTTCAGCAAATGTAATCATTACTGATTAATCCTAATTTACCCACTGGAAACTGGGTCCATTTCTTAAGTATACCCTATTAATACATGGTCTCAAATATACATATATACCATATTAAATAAGGATAATACTAAAACAGTGAGGAGTGTGCTAAATGCCCGTATTTACTGGGATTATCTTTCTCTCCCATCCCCAATCCAAACTGGAGAGAGAAAGCTGGTGGTTTCTGGATCCCGGGGTACTGCTACTCTCAGAAATCTTTATTCTTCTTGGAAATTCTGGCTTCCAGGTTCTAAGAATTGTAGGCTTACACAGAGTTACATCGCTGTCTGGGGTAAACCAAACTGCAGCCCATGTGCTTTTTATTTTTTGGCTGCGTAGGATCTTCGTTGCTGCGCGGGCTTTCTCTAGTTGCGGTGAGCGGGGGCCACCCCTCGCCGTGGTGCACGGGCCCCTCATGGTGGTGGCCTCTCTCGTTGCGGACCACGGGCTCTAGGCACACGGGCTTCAGGAGTTGTGGCTCGTGGGCTCTAGAGCACAGGCTCAGTAGTTGTGACGCATGGGCTTTGCCACTCTGCAGCATGTGGGATCTTCCCAGACCAGGGATGGAACCCGTGTGCCCTGCATTGGCAGGCAGACTCTTAACCACTGAGCCACCAGGGAAGTCCTCCAGCCCACGTGCTTTAAGCAGTGGGTGTGCAGAGAACCCAGCAGAGACAAATTTGTAAAATAGGAGGACTGTTTACAGCCTATTCAGGGACACAGCAAACACACTTTGTACACCGCAAAGTGCTGTAAAATAGAACCTAAAATGAGGTTGATGTAACACGGAATTCCCATCCCTGGTCCTCAGTCCTTCTAGGCCCGGAGGAGCAAGCATCCCTTACACACACACCCTCCCCCCACCCCACCCCCGTGAGGACTGAGATTGCAAAGTAAGGTAGTTAGTTCAATAAAAGGGCCTCCTAGATCCCTGGCCCCCATCCCCACCCAGCCTGGGTACCTCCTCCAGGCTATTCCATTAACTGTCTTGTTAACCTTGAGGAAGGTCAGGACCTTCTGCTTAATTCTGCACCTTGTTGCTGTTCTGAAGCAGAGGGAGGGGACAGAGTCGCAAAGAGGATAATTATTCATTTTTCTTATTTTTCATAGAGTGCCCATGATCAGAGACCAATATATATATATATATATATATATATATATATATATATATATATGGCACATGATAAATTAAAGGGAATATCTCCTTCCATTTCTGTTCCTTTTCAGAGTCACTGTGTTCAGTCTCTGATCCTATTTTCTCACAAGAACAGAGAAGTGCATCAGAATGCCATGGGTCATGTGCCTTCCACAGGTCAAAGCAATATCCCGGGCATCTTGCAAGGAAGTGTGTTAGAAGACCTATAAAAACAAATCGTGATAGGTCTTTAGTCTCTGTCCAGAGGGGCTCCACAGTGTCATTACTGCTTGAAAACCCTCCTCACTGCTCTGGGGAGGCAGAGCTGCTGCAAGTGGGGTATCCTGCCTAAGTTTTAGTCAGTGTCAAGGTCTGCGGGTCTCAAACAAGGGGGAGAAACTCTACATACAGAAATCTCTCCTCTGCCTTAGGATATTTTTTTATAAGTGATAAGGGAACCCAAAGTGGGCTGGGGGGACTTCCTTGCCCTCAGAATTCCAAGTGTCCAATGATCAACCCTGTAGAAGCCGTATCCCTCCCCAGAGGCCTCTGCCAGCCAGCCCTTCCTTATGCACAAAGAAGCCGATGCAGCCCCAGCGTCCAGCCCCCTCTCCTCTCCTAGCCCCTGGGTTCTGTTCATCATTAAACATGCCATTTGGGGATTTCCCCCCCTTTGCTTTTATTGCCGTAACACCAGACGAGTGAAGATGAAGAGGTGCAGGAGGAGGAGGAAGACCCAGAAGAAGACAGGAAATCCACAAGAGAAGAGGAGAATGAATTGCCCAAGTCTCCAGAGCCAGCACCAGGCCCGGTCCTGGCTTCCGCAGAGGCGCCACCCCTGCAAGCCCTGGGCCAGCCCTCAGGCTCCTTCATCTGTGAAATGCCCAACTGTGGAGCTGTAAGTGTCTCTGCGCCCTGCAGGGATCTGGGACTCCTGAGAGCCGTACATACAGCTGTGCCCGGCTTTAAGAGATGATGCACTTTGCAAAACGTGTACTTTCAGCAGTGAAAGTTTGGCAGAGGGAAGTCCATGTGGCCATGCTTTTCTTTCTTTCATCCATTTTCTTATTCATTCAGCCCGTAGATATTTCTGGAGTGTGTGTTCTCTGTTAAGCACTGTGCATGTGCTTGGAGGACACAGGTCCGTCCCTGCCCTCAGGGAGCATGTGATTCAGGCTCTGCGATGGACCTTGGCCTCCAGAACTTACACTCCTCGTTACTTGGTGCCTCCCCACTCTTCCTGGGCTGTGTCACACGGGTCATGTCCTGGAGACATGCATTTAAATGCAGCGGGAGAGCCCACAGAGAAGGAGTGTCCTTTTATGGCATAATTACAAAGATTTAGCTAAAGTTTATCTTTGTACTTTTTGGGGGAAGCAAACAAGATTTACTAAGCAAATTATTCATGTAAACAGGCTAAAAAGGTGTCTGTGTAATTACCTAACCTAGTACTTTTCAAGTACATTAGAAGCATCATTTAGCTAAAATAAAACCAGTTCACCATTTGATCACTAAAGGATGGCCTTACAGAATCTGTACTGGCCTGATCTAAGGCTCCCTGTGTATTTTAATGGATATGTTTTTTTAATTGTTAACTTTGGACTCTCAGTCCCCCCGGTACCCCACTCATCTGAATTGTTGAGCTTTTCCCAAATCAAGTTTCTAAAAGCTGGGCACACCTGTGCAGGCAAGCTCTAGAGGTATTATGCAAAAACTGAGAATGTTGCTCCTTTCATATGAAACCCTGTTTTCCCCAAGTTAGTGCTTATCCCTGCTTGTGTGTTACATAGGATAATACTGTTTTCCAGAGTGCATTGAATGCTGCTTATTGAGTCTGTCACTTAGATGAAGAAAGCAACAGTCTTTAAAATAGTTAGATCCTAAAGCAGAAATTCACTTGATTTACATTTAAGAAAAAATGAAAAACTTCTTTTAAATGATACATACATTTTGCATTAGCTTTGAAGAGAACATAAGAAATTGCTAGCTTGTTTCTATCTTTGATGTTTAATGAGCTGGACGCTTCACTCCATCATTGCCATATTGTATTGCCATACAGCACTTCCATTAGGGGATGATTAAGATGTGACTTTATTTATTTATTTTTTACACATCTTTATTGGAGTATAATTGCTTTACAATGATGTGCTAGTTTCTGCTTTATAACAAAGTGAGTCAGCTATACATATACATATATCCCCATATCTCCTCCCTCTTGCATCTCCCTCCCACCCTCCCTATCCCACCCTTCTAGGTGGTCACAAAGCACCGAGCTGATCTCCCTGTGTTATGTGGCTGCTTCCCACTAGCTATGAGATGTGACTTTAAATGACAGTATCCTTGGTGAATTTGTTTAGAAATTGGATGCTTCCTCAATTCATAGTTCGGGTGTACAGTAAATTCTTTCCTGAGCGGGAAATCATCTTTTACTTTACCCAATCAAAAATGCTCAGCAAGGTGAATATTTTTTCGTGACTTCAAAAAACAACAGGGAAAAACCATGTTGGTTTTATTTGGTGCCTAACCATGGAGGTTTTGGTTGCTAAATCAGCGAAAGATTTTTTTTTTTCTTGCAAGACTATAAACAGAACTCATGAACTTAACACAGAGTGACCATCTGTGGCTGGACAGTTCAGTGGGTACTCCCATTAGCTGATGCATTTAGCAATCTGGAAGTCAGAGCTCTTGGAATTCAGGGGTGTGGATTACATCCCTTTACAGCAGTGGATCTCTGCCGGGAATGATTTTGTTCCCCATGAACATCTGGCAACGTCCGGAGACATTTTTATCGCATCTAGGGAGGTGCTCCTGGCATCTGGTGGCAGGGTTGCTGCTGAAGATCCTGTGATGCCCAGGACAGCCCCACAGCAAGGTATCATCCAGTCCCAAATGTCAGTAATACTGAGGTTGGGAAACCGTGCATTATGGCAACCTTCAAAAGACCAGGTCGTTCCCCTTTTTTTCATCCTGCAGTACAATGTCGGGGTCTGAAACGTTGCTTCAACACTGGGCTACTGATTGGGGCTTAGAAATAACATATAGAACATATCAGAGCAGCTAGTCAGTGTCTTCCAAGCTGTGTCTCTTGGGGTTCGAGGGCTTCCTAGGGGGGAGATAGAGCTGAGCAAATAGATTCAATTTTGGGGGGCTGTCTATTTCAGCCAGAGTACCTCTGCTTTGAGCTTTTGAATAAGACCTGATTTTTTTAAGTAAAGAAAGGAAAGGAAAGGAAAAAAGAAAGAAAAGAAAAATGGGGTGGAAGGTAGCTTCTGGCTGTTAAAAAGTTTGAAAGCTGGTCCAAACCCTCTCATTTTACAGATGGAAAAAATAAGGTGTTCAGAGGGGAAATGGCCCAGTGGCCTCCCTGTGAGATGGAGGCACTGGATTGAGCCCTAGTCTTTGGTTATAACAGTGATGGGTTTTTTACTCGCACAGCACTTGTGGTTGTGGTATTTGATCTCTACTTTCTGTGGCATTTGCCCAGAGTTTGCTTATGTAAAACCCCTATGCCTTGTCATTAGACACTGTTTCGAGTATCACATGTTCTACCAATGAGTAACTAATAACCCTAATTTCCTTTTCAGGACTGTAGATGTCATGTCACTCCCTTTCTTCCCCAGGTGTTCAGCTCCCGACAGGCACTGAACGGCCATGCCCGCATCCACGGTGGCACCAACCAGGTGACCAAAGCTCGGGGTGCTGTTCCCTCTGGAAAGCAGAAGCCTGGCAGTGCCCAGAGCGGGTACTGCTCAGTGAAGAGCTCACCCTCTCACAGCACCACCAGTGGCGAGACAGACCCCACCACCATCTTCCCCTGCAAGGAGTGTGGCAAGTACGTAGAATTGGGCCAGGGACTGAATCTAAGTGTGTGATGAATAATGCCTCTGTAGGGGCTGGGCCAAGGTGGTCTGAGGTGTCTCCAGGTAGAGAAGGAACCCAGACTCTCCAGTTTTTCCTCATTTCATCCTTGGGGTCTACATGGTGCCTCATGGAGAGTGGACCTTGTCTCTGACTCAGAATACGGTCATTCTGATGTCCTAAAGCCTAATAAGGATGGACATCATCAGAGAGCAAACCTCTAGTGACAAAACTTCACTCTTTTCCAGAAATGATGGATGGAACTCTGATTCCCACCTCTTCCCTTCACACCCAAATCATATTCACTAGTACTGACTGCTCTCTTTGCATCCCTGCCAAGTGATTTGAGAATGGCTCTAAAACATCTAATCAGGAACTCTCTGTGGCAGAGATGGCTTTCCTACCAATACTGCTCATTCCTGCAACCAGGGCAGACATCACTAATTAATTGCTATACTTTTTGCTACCACATTAAGATAAGACTCAAATGCTTTCAAATCCTTTAAATCCTAATGCTTCAAGCTGGCACAACCAATTGATCAGAGTTGACTCATGAGGTAAAGTCTATTTGTCATCTCTGCCGTTTTAAGTGTAGTTTAAAACAATGAAAAGGGGAAACTGAGAGTAGGTGGTAATAGCAGCATTAAATAACGTTTACTAAGCACTTAATTTTGTTACATACTTCATGTGCATGAGATCATTTAATCCCCACACAGAAACTCCATGTGGCGCAGATACTGTTTTATCCTTGTTTTTACAAATAAGGACTGAACATTAGGTAAATTTACTTGCCCCAGGTCATACCCCCAGTAAAAGCAGAACTGAGATTTGAACCCCTGTGTGTTCAAGTACAGAGCCTGGGCTTCTGACCACTGTTCCAGCCTAGTGGTTTGCTTTGTTTGCTTATTTATTTATCACTGATGGTGAGATGCACACAGTTCCCTCCCACAGCATCTAGTATAGAATCCAGTTTACTTCTTGGTGAGTCTGCCTCCAAGAAGGTTGTCATAAGTGACTTCTTTTAGGAGCCTTGCCGAGTTTCTCTTCCTGTAACCTCCAATGTCTCAAATGTGCAGTGTTACCTGGAGAGATGCCCGCGAGGTAGCTGCTGAAACTCTACCAAGGGAACATCCCTAGCTGTATGAATGAGGCCAACTGGGACCTCTGTTTATAATATTCATCCTCATGGAATACTTCAGGTGTATTTCAGGCATCTTAATAATTCTGTCATTTATCAGTTACTCAGTGTTTGCCTGGCACTGTTTTAAAGAATGTTTACGTGTATTGATTAATTTAATCTTAAGCCCGATGAGGTAGGTGCTCTTAGCCGTAGGTCAGTGGCACCTGCCAAAGTGAGTTGGAACTAGCAGCTCTCTTCCTGCAGAGATGGGGAGACAGACTTAGGCGTGGGTCCCCTTCTCTGGGCTCTAATGTCCTTCAGAGCCAGGACATGATATCATCTTCATGTCAGCAAGGAATAAGTGAGCCCCTGGATTGATCATCGGGCTTACTTACTTGAAATAGGGAAACCTCCTCAGTCGGACTCCCCCCTACTTGCCCTGGGGTGGGAGAGGCAGGGAAGGGGGGTCTCAACCAGTTTCTTCTCAGAGGAGCCAGCATGTTTCCTCCACTCACTCCGCTCCAACAGGCGACAACTCCTTATTCCACTAGGTGGCGACAAAGGACATTTTAACAACCAGAAATAAGTATTTCAAGCTGTGGTTGTCTTTCAGTGACGTCCGTTAAATGTTTTTCTTGTCTTGTTTTTATGTTGCTTGGGACCTTTTTCTACCATAACTCCAGTTAATATTTTTATGGCAGAAATATTTTGTATGGTTTTCCAGATGAGGAATAACATCAGGCACGTTTGCAGAATCCTTTTTTTAGCTGCTGAAATTATGTTCATTACATTAGACAGTTTTCAATATGTCCAGTGGTGATTCATCAACTCTGTTCTAAGACAGGGGTCTTAGAAATCAGGGCGTTTTTTTCCCTTTATGAGCTCAGGAATAAATATTTATGCCACCCTCCCTCTCTAAAAACAGGCCGTCTCACATCTGGACAAACTTGCTCTGAAAAAGGTCCAGATAGAAATATTTTAGGTTGGGTTTCCCTGGCGGCACAGTGGTTAAGGATCTGCCTGCCAATGCAGGGGACACAGGTTCGATCCCTGGTCCGGGAAGATCCCACATGCCGCAGAGCAACTAAGCCCGTGCACCACAACTACTGAGCCTGCACTCTAGAGCCCGCGAGCCACAACAAGAGAAGCCATCGCAATGAGAAGCCCACTCACCGCATCGAAGAGTAGCCCCCGCTCACCGCAACTAGAGAAAGCCCACGTGCAGCAACGAAGGCCCAACGCAGCCAGAACAACAACAACAACAAAAAAAAACCATAATTCTCAACTTTAAAAAAAAAAGAAATATTTTAGGCTTTGTAGGTCATTCTGTCTCTGTCACAACTACTCAGATGTGCCATGTTAGTGCAAAAGCAGCCATGGACGATACATAAACAAATAAACGTGGCTGCGTTCTGGTAAAACTTTATTTACAAAAGCAGGCAGTGGGCAGGATTTGGCCCACTGACCATAGTTGGCAGACCCCTATTTCCAGGATTTCTCAGCCTTGGCACTGATATTTTGGGTCTGATGATTCCTTATTTGGGGAAGAGGGCTTGCCCTCTGTATTGTAGGGTGTTCAGCAACATCCCTGGCATCTACCCGCTCGGTGCCAGAACTACCACTACCACCACCCAGCTGTGACCATCAAAAATGTCTCCAGACGTTGCCAGATATTCCCTGTGGAGGCAGAATCCCCCCTAGCTGAGAACCACTATTTCATTCTAAAGCAAACAGGAGGGAACTATGATACATGATGGCCAAAACGAGACGGGATCTTGGGCGAAGAGGAATGGTCAGTGCAGCTCAGAAGTCCAGTACAATGAAGACAGAAGAGGGGCTGTTGGATTTGGCCACGTGGTCACTAGCGATCTCAGGCACTTGGACTGAAGTGGAGGAGACGACAGTCCAGTTGGAGAGTGTGGAGGAAAGAGGCGCTGTACGTGTGTGCAGGCAGACCCTCTAGAGTTTTGACGGGAATGACAGGGACAGGAGGCCAGAGGCAAAGGATGGGTTGTTTTATGGTGGGAACCAACAGAGCTTGGCAGCATGATTTGGGGATTCTCAGGTTGGTCGAGAGGGCTTGGTCAGTGTTAGAGAGAGAAACGGGGAAGATAAGGAGGAAAGAAATTCTTGTGCCCCAGGCCACAGATGGACAGGAAAGCTTTGAGGATTCATCCTCCGTTGTCACAGAGAGAAAGCCCAACACACCGTAAATGTGTTCCTGTCCCATCCCCTTTCCTTGGAACGCTTGGAGAGAAGCGAGGTCACAGGTCACCAGGGGAGGAGGTCTTGGGAGCTAAGGAGATGGGAACTCTGTCAGAGCCACCCCAAACCCGACAGCAGACCATGCACCTGCTATTCCCTATAGGATCCCTTGGATTTCCAAGAACTCAGATCTTCTAAATTTCACATGCTTCTTTTTCTTCATTTTTATAGAGTCTTCTTCAAGATCAAAAGCCGAAATGCACACATGAAAACTCACAGGCAGCAGGAGGAACAGCAGAGGCAGAAAGCCCAGAAGGCGGCTTTTGCGGCCGAAATGGCAGCCACGATTGAGAGGACTACGGGGCCGGTGGGGCCGCCGGGGCTGCTGCCCCTGGACCAGCTGAGTCTGATCAAACCCATCAAGGACGTGGACATCCTCGACGACGACGTCGTCCAGCAGTTAGGAGGCGTCATGGAAGAGGCCGAGGTCGTGGACACCGGTCTCCTCTTGGATGATCAAGATTCAGTTTTGCTTCAGGGTGACACGGAACTCTAAAGCCCTGTGTGTCGCTTGGAGATGGCGAAAACCCACGGTCTCCATCCTCATTCATCAGGAAAGCTGGACTGCCTGCTTGTTTTGTAACCATTTTAAACTACCTGCTTAAAAAGTGGTCGTTTTTTTCAGGTTTAGAAAAAAATCGGGGTTTTTTTCCTTTTATTTAAAAACAGTTGTTTTGTGGGAGGTTGGGGGGGAATAAATAATTGGCACAATCCTACTTTAAGATGTGTTTCATCTGGGCTACATTCCCATGAACTCATTCCTGGTTGGGAATGAACCTGATGTTCATGTTCTTTTGCTTTCAGATGCCAACCATCCTGGTTGCCTTTTATCCCAAAGCTTGCATGAGTGAGTGAGTGAGAGAGTCTGTGTGTGTGTGTGTGTGTGTGTGTCTGTGTGTGTGTAAAGCAGGCTACTTTCTTTGTGCTGGGGTCTTGGGCCGTCCTTTCCCACCAGGAGTCATTTTTGTGCTGACCTCATTCCGCAGTTTGCAGTGAACTTGGCGTCTTTGCTGGGAGACCATACTAGGTAGTAGCTTTCCAGTGAGCAAAGGCCGCCCTGTGTTCCACAGCTTTCTTCTAGCATACACGTCATTTGAAGAGTTGACCAAACGTGAAAGTCATTTTTCTCCCTGCCCTGCCTGTCACTCGGCCTGTTTCTGAAAACTGAGTGCTGTGTCATTTCAGGCTTTTCCTCCCTGGCCGTGATTTACTAAGCAGGTGATTCCTGGAGCAAGTGCGTCCTCTTCCCAGTTCCGTGAAGACCGGTTGACTCCAATTCATGGGTTAGCAGGATCCCTTGGATTTCCGAGAACTCAGATCTTCTAAATTTCACATGCTTATTTTCCAGTTGGCCTGAGCCGACTAGAAATCCGTCTGGAGGAAAATAACCCCAACTATTAAGTTGCCAGGGCTGTTTTCAGGGAGGATGGTGGAAGAGCACAGATTAAAGTCCCTGGAATGGCAAGAGGCCCAAAAACTAGATCAGAAGAGCTGATTCTTTTTTGCCACACTGTTAATGGTCAGTGGAGTTCTGAAATTACTCTGTGCCACTTGGAAGTACTATGAAACCTCATTCACTAGGATTCTGCTGTCATTCGCCTGTGCTGGACCGAAGTTTACCTTGACGCTAACTGAGGAAAAGGCTTGTCTAACAAATCTGATGGCAAATACAAGGGAAATAGCATTAAAGGCCAACAAAAATGGTTTCAGATACCACTTCAGCTACAGTGTTTACATTCAAACAATGAATGAATTCATTAAAGTCATTTACCAAAGCCCTTCTAGAATTCTCCAAGCTACATACCCCTGCTCTGTCTCCTCCTGTCCCTGCCGGCAGGGTTGCTGTTTGTACTTGAAGGTAATAAACCTGTAATCCTTCAAAACTGGCATCGAGCTCAGGCTTTTGAGCTGAGTCAGGCTCCTCCATGGCCTCCGTCAGGGCAAATGAGTGCGTGCGCCTTCAGGCTGGGATGCGGCCCCGGCACAGAGCTGACGCTTCTGATGCCCCAGCTCCTGCAGGTGTGGCAGTCCTACCAGGGCACTTTGCTGGCACAGTAATAGTTTGATGTTAAAGAGGATGTCAGCGGAAGCATGAGGATAGGACTGGAGCATCTTTAAGCTGTCTCAGCAAAAGCTTCTAGCACACACTGAAGACCCACAGCAGCCCCACGCAGGCAGTGTCCTCTGAATCTCAGGAAAGCCATGGACAGAAGATCAATACAAAGGTTCTTTTCATTGCCACCATTCGGTTTTCAGAAAAAGAGGTCTTGAAGATTTCCTTTATCTTTTTTTAGGGGGGGGGGGAAGTGTTTCATTTGCTGCCATTTCTGACAAATTATTCTATGTTCTGAGTTCAGAACTGCCTGGGGAGGACATCAGCTTTGTGGCAGAACTATTCCAGAAGCATTCCAACTGTAATGTCGGCCAATCCCATCTGTCCCAGTGACTACTCCCCTCCACTTGTGGGTGTCTGAGAGGGATTCTGGAATGGTTCTGCTATTGGGTCTATGAAAGCTTATCTAGCAAAGGAGCAAACACCCGGAAAAATGTTGATAAAGCAAATGTACTCGTTCTGTTTGGAGGTTTGCCCGGCTGTTCCAGTTTAAAACATTATAATAAACTGAGTTGCCAAGGCAAAAATATAATGCACAATTTAATTTTGATTTTCCATGCAGTATAGCATTTGCATTTTTGACTTGAAATAACCAAAGAACTCCTCCTTGATGAGACAGTTCACTTTCCTGAATTAGTATTTTTCTTCACAATATCAACTTAAGGAATTGACTTCATAGTAAAATATTGCACTTATTTTTTTTCCTGAAGTGATTCTGCCTGCATGTATGTGTTGTGTTTTAGCTCCTCAGCCCCCCATCTCTCCCCACCTTAAAGAACTTTTCTTCCCGATGGTTTGTCTTCAACACAGTTACTGTTTACTATCAGATAGTTTTTCATTAGTGAATTTAGACCTCTTTGAGAAAGCTTGTATATAAAAAGTTAAAAGATATATTTTATGGAAAAACCCATCTTATTTTCAAATATATTTAACTGCTGTTCTATTTTATTAGAGGAAGGTTGTAAATATTTTCTAGGAGTTCTATTGTAAAGAAAAGTATTTTTGAAAAAAATTAATGTAATAAAAAGGAAAACATTTTTAAATAGTGGTTGTGATTGCTTCCTGTTCTGGCTTCATTGTGTTCTATTCGTAGGAAATGACTTGCATGCCTTCCCATTTTAGGATGTAATTTATTCTGGTTTGCACTATTTTAAGTTGACATCATAATATCTAATGTGCTTCACTGTATTTTCCCCAGAATGCAGGTCCCTTGGTCCATATCAAAAGCACTATGTATAGCATATTCATACTTTTTTCTTTTGTAACGTGTGTATTTTTAATAAGCATTTTATGTAACATTTTGGCAAAAAGAGGACAGTATTTTCTAGTGAATTTTATAAAACATTTTGCTAAAGGTGTTTCTTCCTAGGTCAGTTTTTGTTAAGGCGAACCAAAAGTCTTATTTTCCCAGGGGTTTAAAAAAAAAGTTTGAAGCTTGAAAGCAAAGTTATATTTAAACATCATATGTAACAAATAAATAAAGATATTTTATAGACTTGTCCTCAAAAGGTTCATTCCTTAAAAACAAAAACAACTGGGGCATTCTAGGTTGGTTTTCCCCCTGAGCGATGAGCATTTTATTTTAATTGCCACAATACTTTTTTTTCAGAAAGCAAGCCAGGAGAATTTTACTTAAAAAGGTTCCGGTCATTAGCCTCCTCAGAAATTTATTACAGTTCTTACAGATAGGCATTCATCAAACAGAGATGTTACCAAGTAGACACTGTCATATTTATTTGTGAAAACCTGATTCAATATTGCATCAGCTGCTCTGAAAATAAAATGTTATCTTTTGAGTTTCATTTGGCTTAAACATTCCTTCTTTCTAGCTGCTGAAATGACTTCTCAATGCTAATTTACCGTTAGTTTGTTTCTGGAGACCGGTTTAGAGGGCTGCTGATTAGATTTTATTTATTTATTTATTTATTTATTTATTTATTTATTTATTTTTATTTTTGGCTGCATTGGGTCTTCATTGCTGTGCGCGGGCTTTCTCTCGTTGTGGTGAGGAGGGGGCTACCCTTCGTTGCGTTGCATGGGCTTTTCATTGAGGCGGCTTCTCTTGTTGCAGAGCACAGGCTCTAGATGCGCGGGCTTCAGTAGTTGTGGCACACGGGCTCTAGAGCGCAGGCTCAGTAGTTGTGGCACACAGGCTTAGTTGCTCCGTGGCATGTGGGATCTTCCCCGTCCAGGGCTCGAACCTGTGTCCCCTGAATTGGCAGGCAGATTCAGTACGCCACCAGGGAAGCCCATGCTGATCAGATTTAATGCTCATATAAATGCCCCCACCCCTACCCTGGAGGCCAAGATGGATATTTCTGCTTCTCAAGCTGTGGATGAGCCACTTGAAGGGTTGATGGCCTCTAACCCGTACTACTCACAATGCAGTTTGGGGGAGCTCAGTATTACACACGGGTTATCTCACAGGGAACCAGCAACAAAATCCAGTCCACGCTGTGTTTTTTTGTTTGTTTGTTTTGTGGTACGCGGGCCTCTCACTGCTGTGGCCTCTCCCGTTGCGGAGCACAGGCTCCGGACGCGCAGGCTCAGCGGCCATGGCTCACGGGCCCAGCCGCTCCGCGGCATGTGGGATCTTCCCGGACCGGGGCACGAACCCGGGTCCCCTGCATCGGCAGGCGGACTCTCAACCACTGCGCCACCAGGGAAGCCCCACCCTGGTTTATAGGCATTGCTAATCTGGATTTCCAAATTCTACAAAGTGTGTTTACTTTTTAATGGTCAACAGCAAAGTTCAGGAGAAATCTGAAATTCTGGACTTCATACAGAATTTGATTTAAGTAGGGCACATACCTGGTCAGGACCTTTGTCTTCTTCGTTCTTTTGGGGTTTTATACTTTTAATTTGGGTAGTGTTGGTCATGTGCCAAAGAAAATAGCTCTTCCTTTACAAACACTACATTTAGCCAGGGTTGGAAATTTAAATTCTGCTTCCAGGGCCTCAGGTGTCCAATCGGAAGACGTTTTCCTACTGTTTTAGTCTCATTCATTACTCACGTACCAGGCACTATTCCATGCTGTATTATACACAGGGCAGTTGAGTAGCTAAAGATGACTGTGACATCATTCCTGCCTGCCTGCCAAGGAATTTAATACTTAGAAAAAACATATAGGGGCCTGGGAACAGATCCAGTTCCATCACTGGGAAGAGCAAAGGTCATGCTTTATTATTATTACTGAACCATCTCACCATCACCCACATATTCACAGCAATTTATAACAGGTGCTCAGCAACTATTTGTTAATTATCTCTCTAATCTTCCAGGTATGCTTATCCGTGTGTGTGTGTGTGTGTGTGTGTGTGTGTGTGTGTGTAAATAAAACCTCTTTTGACTTTACCTAAAGTCAATTCTGAATTCCACAGACTCCCAGTCTACCTTCCTCAGCCACAGCCAGCCAGCTGTGGACTGAGGCTGAGTTTTAATATTGGTATAAACAAAACATAATTAGGAAGGCATGTTAAGAAATTGAATAATATATTCCTAAGTGAACCATAGTGATCTTTGGGTCTCAGATATCCCTGTATAAAAGAGCCAAAGGGCTGATTATTTCTTTATAATAATAGAAAAGAGCTGTCCTCCTCCCACACACACACCCCCCGAAGGGAAGTGTTTAATGTTTCTGTTTGAGTCGTAAAGGCCAAGCAGCCATACATGCTTGATTTGCATTCCAGCACACATATCCTTAACATACAACACGGATCTCTCTTTGGGCTGTTTGGGGTCATTACTTCCTTACTTCCTCTGCTTATGTAATTTTATTTTTGGCAGTCTTGCTATTTCTTTTTTTTTTTCCCAACCACTTTATTAAGGTATGATTGACACATAAAAAGCTATACATATTTATTGTATACAACTTGATGAGTTTGGAGATAAGTGTATAACCATGAAACCATCACAATCAAGTGAGAAGATCTGTCTTTTAAAACAGAACAACTGGGGGCTTCCCTGGTGGCACAGTGGTTGAGAGTCTGCCTGCCGATGCAGGGGACACGGATTCGTGCCCCGGTCCAGGAGGATCCCACATGCCGCGGAGCGGCTGGGCCCATGAGCCATGGCCGCTGAGCCTGTGCGTCTGGAGCCTGTGCTCCGCAGCGGGAGAGACCACAACGGTGAGAGGCCCACGTACCGCAAAAAACAAACAAAAAAACAGTACAACCGGTGCAATCAAAGTATGATATAACTTAGAAATGTTTGATGCACACACTTTTATTTTTCCTGGATATAAAGCAAGGTGGACTTGCATCAGCTTGATCTCCTGCTCATTTACACTAGTTCAGAGGTTTGAAGGCTTAGTTCGTAGGGAAAAGACCCATAATGGACTGGCCAAGCTTTAGAACACTGTCCACGCTAATAAACTAAGAACTTTTACATGTCAAAAAACACCTCCACACTGTCCATGCCCACACACCATACCAAAGGGCTCTGTCCACAGCCCCACTGTTGGCAAAACCCGAGTTTGCCCCTCAAAATGACTCCCACCTTACCCCCAGCTAATTGGACCAGGGCCAGCACCTGACCCCAAGCTATTAGGCCCATAGTCCATTTGAAGACACATGACATGATTTAGCCCTGGAAAATGAAGGGACCAAATCCAATTCCCACATTTGAGAGTATGAATGGAGAAACTTGGTGAGCCAAAGGCAGCAAGCAGAATTCTGAGGGAGCACCAACTATTTGTAAGCAGAGAAAGCCCATCAATAAAGAGACCATGTTTGGCCTTAGGGGTGAAGAGGGCATCCAGTCCCTAAGGCTGCTTTGAGCCCACTTTTCCAATTGCAGGAGCAGTTCAGGCCATACATGTCTTTAAAAATAAAAAATAAACTCCTTTTCTTGCAGGAGCGTGGGGAAATGGGGACCTCTATGTCTCACATCCAAAAGAGACTACTAAGAGTTCCACTTAGTAGAACTGGACCTTATTACAAAGTCAGCACCAGGGGTCCTGCAGGGGTGGAAAAGGCACTGAACTAGGATTTTGAAGATGGTTATTGGTTCAGCTGTAACTAACTCACCCATATGACTTTGAATGAGTCATTTCATCTCTGAGCCTCAGTTTCCTCACCTGTTAAATTAGGACAAGATGCACGTCTTCTTGTGAGGATCAGATTAGGTGACATAGGGGAAAGTTGTTTGCAAGCTGTTAAGGTCACCATCACTGGCAGCTGCAGAACCCTCACCCAGATAAGGCTGCTCAAGGGGGTTAGAGGCAGGCTGAGGAGCCATCCCAGAGGAGAGACTGATGCTTCAAAAGCAGCAACAGAGTTGGAGAGCTATAGGAAAACTCCACTGGCTAAGAGAGACCAGCCAACTCTGAATGTCACAATTGACAGAGGGAGCCTGATTCTGAAAAGGACACTGGGCAGCCTGCCAAGGCTGTTGTTGTTATAGCTATTACCATTAAAGTACAAACTCAGGTTGTTTCTCCAGGGCAAGATGAGGTAACAGATCCCGAGTCATGGACCACCTGGCCAGGGAATCGTAAAACAGAGACACTGTGACTCCCAAAACTACAATTCAGAAATGTCACAAGGTGATTAATCCCAGTCTCTTTGATCTTCTCCTTTAAAAAACACACAAAAAACCCCTAACTCAAATACCAAGTTGGAGTGGATCTGAGGCTTGTTTCCTACTCCCTTGCTTGGCGCCCTGTAATAAATCCTTACTCGGATACGAACTCCCGCTGTCAGTTTGGCTTTCTGCGAGCCACAGGTACACAAGCCCTTTGCTCCGTTATAACAGGAAAAAACATCAACCATTCATCCACTACTCAGAGATAACCAGTGTCAATATATTACTCATATTTTTTCCAAGCATGTGTTTGTTGTGTTTGCATCCAACAAAACAGGAACCGCAAAGGACAAACACGATTTGAAAAGGAAAGCGCTGACAGAACTCGGTAATTAAATACGAGCTGAAACTATTAACAGGACGGAGTACAGGTCAGGTTGCGGCCGGAAGGAAGCCGGCTACATTCACAGTCCCACCCTCGCAGAGCGTGGAATCGCGTCTCTATGGTTGTTCCGGTGCCGGAACACAAGGATACACTCTCTCCTTTTGCAGAACTCTATGGTCAGAGGACTCCTCTGTGACCCCGGAAGCGATCCGGGAAAGCGGAAACGGCAAGATGGCGGCGCGGACGGCGTTTGGGCCCCTTGGACGGCGTCTCTGGCAGGTATGAGGTGCGCTGGGGGGACGCGCTGGGGGGACTAGGCGGTCCTTGGGTAACTGGCCCAAGGGCAGTTACCATTACGACTGGCTGCCACCTGTCATTCTTAACATCTGGAACTTTCCGCGATATTTATTCCGCACGGCCCGTTGTTTGCAGGAAGGTGGCGAGAAAAGGGCTGATTTTATCTCGAATTCTCTCATAGGATAAAACATAAGTTAATGAGTCAGGGCAGAGACAGGAACTAGAAAAATCGTAGACTGTCAGGGCTGGAAAGGATATTGAACAGCGAATGTTCCAGACCCAGCCTTTCACGTTTGCGAAATAAACAGGCTCAGAGAAGTCAAGAAGGTTGACCTCGCGAAAATTAGGTGGCACGAGATTTTAGAGGCTTCCCACGGAACCAGATTGAGATACTTTACGGATACCCGGGTTTCTGAGATTTAGATGAGAATCGCTGAAGTCAGAGGAGTGGGTTAGATATCCTCTGCTCGGTTCTTTGAAGAAAAAGCGAAAATTTAAGCGGCGGTTCTTAAGTTATTTGGCCTCAGCACCCCTTTCTTTACACTCTAAAAATGGTTGAGGACTCCGAAGAGCTTTGGTTTTTGTGGGTTTTAGCTGTCGACTTTTAGCTTATTAGAAAATACAACCGAGAATCTTAAAAGTGCTTGTTCACTTAAAAATAACACTAATAAACTCATTACATGTTAACATAATTAACGTTTTTATGGGAAACAACCATATTTTCCCAAACAAGTTGAGAGAGAAGTATAGCAATATTTTACGTTTTTGCAAATCTCTTTCATGTCTGGCTTAATAGAAGACAGCTTGGCTCTCATAGCTGCTTCTGCAATCTGTTTTTATATCACACGTCCTGCAGCCTCTGGAAAACTTCACTGTACACTGGTGAGAGAATAGAGTGGGAAAGTTGCAAATTACATCTTACTGTTATTATGAAAATAAGTTTAGTCTCCTGGGCCCCTTCTGAAGGTGTCTCAGGAGCCCCTCAGAAGTCCTTAGACCACACTTTGAGAACCACCGTTATTAAGTCAGGCGCTGTTAGTGGTTGAAATTTTGAACTATTTTAAGACGCACTTACCCAGAACAGGCTCCACCCCCTCAAAAAAAAAGAAAGGAAAAAAAAGGAAGGAAAGCTTAAGAACTTCTTAAGGTTAGTTTGTGGGTGTAATAGCACTTTAGGCTCCAACTTTTTAAAAGCAGGGGGTTTATACTGGGAGAAGATGCCTGGGAAGTGTCATATTCCTTAGACCTGTGGGCCTTCTACACAACTGGATTGTGGGCTTAGGGGTATAAATGTGGGGAGGGAATTTGCTCTGTGCTTATGTGTGGAAAATGGCACATACCTCTTACTACCTTGTATTGTGCTTGATTTTCTTTCTTCTTTTTGCTTTTCTCCCTTGATCCAAGAGAAACTGAAAGTTTTGATTTGCTTCCATCTTGGGTGAAGAGTAGAAGAAGGATAATTAGCTAAGAATAGTTTTTTTTTTAAACATAGGTGACCCTCTGTTGTTCTAATTAAGTTTCATTTGTACTAAACTGTTATTCTCATCTTTAAAGTATTTTTCAGGATCCTATTGAGCTTCCAGTTTCTTAGGTTACACTTTTAAATCTTGGGAAAGCTTAAGAAAAAAACGGGTGGCAAATGTGTATTACATACAGTACCATAGGTTTCCTACAACTAGAAATTTTGTTCCACCAGGGGGAGCTGACAGTAAGGATTTGGAAACGCTGTATTGTTGCAGTATGAGGCACAGTAGTGGTATATAAGATGGGTGTAAATTCCAATGTGTATTTCAACTTACTTATAAAATTAGATGTTTATAAGCTAGTTGTCTCAGCCAAGCGAAGAAATAAATATGCTGGAAAAGGTGTATGAAAGCTTCAAAGAAGGGTACTTTAGAATTCTTATTCCAGCTCCATAAATTAAATTATAAAGACGCTTTTTTTTTAATGCTTGAAAATATTTAGGTAAAAGAAGTATTATGTTGAAATATATTTAATCTGTAAAAAAAAAAAATGGGAAAATGAAGTCACATGTTTTCTTCCTTGATGTCTGCATATTTAATTCATAGCTGTTAATGTGAGACTTGTTTTTTTAAAAAAGTTCTTGTTCCTGGGCTTCCTTGGTGGTGCAGTGGTTAAGAATCTGCCTGCCAGTGCAGGGGACACGAGTTCGAGCCCTGGTCTGGGAAGATCCCACATGCCGTGGATCAACTAAGCCCATGTGCCACAACTACTGAGCCTGCGCTCTAGAGCCCGTGAGCCACAACTACTGAGCCCGCGTGCCTAGAGCCCATGCTCTGCAGCAAGAGGAGCCACCACAATGAGAAGCCCGCCACCGCAACGAAGAGTAGCCCTCGCTTGCTGCAACTAGAGAAAGCCAGTGTGCAGCAACAAAGACCCAACGCAGCCAAAAATAAATTAATTAATTAAAAAAAAAAAAAAGTTCTTGCTCCTGAGCTTTAAAAAATATAGTCTCTAGTATTTTGAGAGTCCTTTCTGATTATCAACTCTTACCACTGTCCTCTTTTTTTTAAATGAAATCTAACTTGGCAATTTAGTTACCCCAATATCTTCATCTAAAATAATGAGATAGCCTGTTATTTGAAGCATCCTGCATCTTTTGGGTCTTAATGGAAACTATGAATGGCTTGGGAATTGATTTTCATTCTAACACACATCCCCCTGTTTTTAAGGGTTCGAGGAATTTTTCTGTATGCAGTTCTAGGAGCAGTACACCCAAAAATGGTGGCCTTCTTCTGTAAGTATATAATTGGTTGTGCTAAATTGAATAAGAAAATGGGCACTTGTGCTGTTTTACTTAGGTTTCTCTTTGTTTCCGCACATAGCAGCACCAGTATGAAGTGGGTACAGTTTTCAAACCTACACGTTGATGTTCCCAAGGATTTGACCAAGCCTACGGTATGCACTCCCTATTTCTTGGCATAAGAAGGTACATTAGCAATAAATTTTCCTCATTATTTCATTTGGGGCTGTTTCCCAAACACTTTATGAATAAAAAAATTTGTTCTGGAATACTGGCAGGTGCACAGTGCACCTGAGGAAAGTATTCACTGATGTCCCTGAGTGCTCATGGTCGCTTTCAGGCTATTAAGGTAAGAGCTAATCGAATAAAGTATTTACCCCAAATAACTGTGGGGATGAGTAGTCTTTTGCTTTTAACTCAGCATAGTGTACAGTGTTGTCATAATTAATGATAATACTTGGTATTATATTATGGAATTTTTTTGTTGTGGTGGTAGGCTTCATGTCTTTATTGAACAGTGAATAGTGCTTTATTGTGAGAGAGAGCATTATCACAAGTAGAGAAAATCCAGGAGCAGCTATGTAACCTTGTTTCCTTTAAGTGAAAGCCATGATTTCATCAACCCAGTTTTTGTATTATTTGTAGTTTTTTTAAATCCTAAAACTACAAACTATATTTTGTAGTTTTTTAAATTCCAAATGCTTCCAGCCCCACACCTCAAAAATAATCCCCTTTAACAGTTTGGTACATATCCTTCTAGACCTTTGTCTGTATATAATCATCTGTGCACACCATGAGCACCAAAGTGGAATTGTGTTATACCTAATGGCCTGCTGGTTCAGTGTTTTCACTTCATAGCATATATAAACCCCAGGTCTCCAGCTCAGATGCCTGCGTAGGCCAGGCCTGTAAGGAACGGTAACTGGGTGGGCACAGTGGCAGGCTGTACCCTTTATAAGCAAGACAGCTGCTACTTACTGTAGCCAGTTGTTGCCATGTGGGAAATTAGACCTAGTGATGTCAGATTGTCTGAATTTTCCAAACTAAATGAAATTCAAATATTTGTGCAAAATCTTTTGATTTTTAATATTTGTAACATTCAGAATTATCTTTAAAACCCTATAGAGACCAGTCATTATACATTTTAGGGCTATATTCCCCTTCTCTTGTCCCTCAACTTAAGAGATAGGATATCAGTGTATTCTCTTCTTCCAACAACCCTATTTGGGGTAATTGAGAGTGAATATCTAGCTTCCTGGTTAGTAAGTAGATCTCCTTTCAAGGGCAAAGTAATTTAACTCTGAAACATTGGATTAGTAATATAAATTACTGGTTTGATGGATGAATGAAGTAAAGGTAATTCACCTCTTGGAAGAAAGTCGGAAATGTCAAACCCATCATTTCTAAGATCTTTAAGTATTAAGGTGGAAGAGGTAGAAGTTATTTGTACAGTCAGTGTCATGACATTTTAGTTAGAAATGAGTAATTTTTCTGTTAGAGCAGGCAAAATAAACATGGACAAACCTAATAAAAAGAATATGAATAGAAATAGCTCGCCTTTGTTTAACAACGTTTTATAACTTATAAGCATTTAAATCCATGCTCTCTCATTTGTTCCCGACAGAAATGCCATGAGCTGTAGCACAAGTATTGTCCTATTTATATGTGAGAAAACTAAAGTTCAGTGAGATTATATTACTTGCCCGTTGTTATTCAGCTTTAAGTGGCAGAGTTTAATTCTCAATCCAGGTCTTCTGACCAGGCTACTTTTATTAACAGAACCCCAAATCCTTTCCTGTTGTATATTTGGGGTTTAATAACTATTAAGCTCGAAGGTTCCATTGGTGACTTTGTAGGTTGCTTGAAAATCCTTTTGATTCAAACTGTATTTTAACTGATTCTTAAGGGTCATTGTGGAGTGTGAATGTGGTTGTATCTAGATATTTAAGCTGTGTTAAGATGTTACTCAGCATTTTTCTCCCCACTTATTAGTAAACTCTGAAGTTGTTCAGGTGAGGGCAATACATTAAATTTTCCAGTTGTAAATATTAGAGGAACCATGACTGAAGCTTTTCTTTTTGATTTTAAAATTGCAGATAACCGTTTCTGATGAACCAGACACGTTATATAAGCGCCTATCAGTTTTAGTAAAAGGCCACGATAAGGCTGTATTGGACAGTTATGAATATTTTGCGGCGCTTGCTGCTAAAGAACTTGGTATCTCTGTTAAAGTGTAAGTACGATCTTTCTTAATCTGACCTGTTAGCTGCTATAATACAATCAGTCAGGAACATGCTGCCAGTCCCATCTAGGTCTGAGCTCTTAAAGTGGGATAAAAACTCATGATGGGGATTGATTAGGTTTGTTATATTATTCTAAGCAGGATCATCCCTTCCTGTCTACCAGCATTTTTAAATACTAGAATGAGTGAACAAGGAAAATGAAGGAATCCTTTCTCTAGAAATTGCATAGACTTAGGAGGCCCAAGAAGCCCTCGTGTCTGGGATCTCCATGGGGCAGGGAGGTGGATTAGGTGAACGAGCAATTCTTTCAGGCCTCTTGGATTTGGTATCTTTGCTATTATATTCACTGTTTGAAATCTGCCTTAAGAAACACCGTTCACCCAATACTTTCAGGCATGAGCAAGGCGAGCTTTGTATGGCCCTGAAGTCACTGCAAGGTCAAGTATAACCACCTTCTGTGTTTTGTCACCTGCTCTTTCTGATGTTGAACGAGGCCCATATGGAGCTTTGCCAGTCTTGCCTTCTAGCAAAACTGAAGGAACTCACACATTTCCCATAACAGACCATGGTTTTGTGCTTTTCACTGTATCTGTAATACACGGCAGACATTACAACCATGTCCAGCCCACGGTGCTGCACCTCACAGTTCATGTGTTTAGTCAGTGTGAGACCTCAAGGGTGTGAAAGCCGGAGGCATGTGTGTGTGCACTTGCATGCCAAGGCTTGTTTTGGGGTCGATGGCAAATGTTCCTGTTGCTGTCTGCAGGTTTATTTTAGCTGGAGCTTCATGACAGCAGTTGTTAGAGATGACAGTCTTGACAAATGGAAGTCTGTAAAATGGTAGTTAACGCCTGTAATTGCGCGTGAGCCTGCCCTGCAAAATTGTGGAATCATGCTTTGATATCAGTGACTCAGGTTCTAACATCACTTAGCTTAAGTATGTTGCTTCGCCCATTAATTTTCCAGACATGAACCTCCAAGGAAAATAGAGCGATTTACTCTTCTCAAATCAGTGCATATTTTCAAGAAGCACAGGGTTCAGTATGAAATGAGAACACTTTACAGATGTTTAGAGGTGAGTTTATTTCAGACATTCAGGCATTTTTTTGAAATGCCCCAAATTTCACACTAGCACATCATAACTTTCCTTTAACCTTGCCCAGTAGACTTCCTTTCAGTCAACCCATGCCGGATAGTGGTAGAGAAGGTAAGTGTTTTTTTTGTGTTTATAGAAGCAGCATGATAGGAAAATCAAACTCAAGTAAAGCCATCCTTCAGAGTAGTTCATACTTTAACTCAGTAGTGCACACATTATGTTGACTAATTTTTATACAGTAAGGTATCATTGGAATAATTTTGCTTATATTTCAAAAATTCTGGCTGCGTTTTCACACAGCTCTAATAATTCTTCTCACATGCTCACTGAATTCTCCATGTCCATAATGGGCAGCATTAAGGTTTTTCATTCGTCAATTATCATTCATTTGCGCAGCATCCCAGGTCAGCACAGTCTTGTGGTTAAGGAAAGCATGGGCTTTGGAGTTGGACAGCCAGGTCCAAGTACTGGCATTTACTAGCTGTGTGACCTGTGCCTCAAGTCCTTCATCTTTAAGTTGGAAATAATAACAGTACCAATTTCATACAGTTAGTGTGAAGATTAAATGAGATATTTATCTAAAGCACTTAGAATATTTCATCTCATAGTAAATGATTGGTAAATGTTACTAAAACAAGTGCTTGTGCATGTTTTATCTGAGAGGCTCTGTACTAGGCATTGAGAGTACAAATATTAAGACATAGTCCTACCCTTAAATGAAAAAGAAAAATGCAAAATTTTATCCACCTTGCCATGGAGCACACAAAATCTTATATTTTATAATTTAGTCTTTTTCCTTTTGTTTTGAGTTGTTTTGTGAAACTCTTACACTGTTTTGATACCATGCTTGCCAGCTGGGTTCCATGGAACCCTGGCTTTAAGGCATTTAGGAGGAAAGGGGACATTGCGGCTGTGCTCCCCTCATTCAGTTCAACCAGAGGATCTGCACTTTTTCCCTTTTAAATTGGGATTCTGTAAGATTTTACAGATGAAGAAAAGACTCTACTGCTTTTACCAGAAAAAAAAAAAAAACCCTCAAAATTTCTGCTTTAACCAGCACAGCATGAATCAATTTCACGTTTGAAATTTTAGTTAGAACATCTCACTGGGAGTACAGCTGATGTCTACTTGGAATATATTCAGCGAAACTTACCTGAAGGAGTTGCCATGGAAGTTACAAAGGTATGACTTGAATTTCTGCCTCTTTTGCAGGGAGATGTATATTGTTGTGTTGATACATTGCTGCCTGATTCCAGCCCACTGGGTGGAGGGGAGGACCTGGAGGCAGAGTTGCCACAGTGGTTGGGGTCTACACCTGCCGTGGAGGGCGCGGCTCAACAGAATGCTGTCCTCGCAGCCCATGTCCTCCTGGAGCCACCTCTGATGCCTCCCTCCCTCTTAGCAGTTGTCTAGACGTGGGTTCCACGTTGATTGGTGGTCCCTGGAGATCACTGAGGAGCAAATAGATTATGTATGTGAGAGTGTTTATCTACTATCGAGTTTTCTTCTCTGTTTCAAAGCCCTACAACAAGATGAGAGGGTAAAAGAAAAAAGTCAAGAGGACTTGAGGGAACAGAATGAATAAATTCAATTTGTGGCTGAAGAGTTAAGTCCACATTATATTATAATTTTGTTTTTCTCTCTTTAGACAAAATTAGAACAGTTACCAGAACACATCAAGAAGCCAATCTGGGAAACAATACCAGAGAAAGAAGAAGAAAGCAAGTCATAAAGTCTCAGAGTGACCACTTGTGCTGGGATGTGGAGTGAGCATGTCAAGTGGTGGTAGTCTCCAGTGAAGACAGTCTCAAGTCACCCTGACTGCTCTCCTGAGGCCGCACGGCCTGATCAGTAGAAAGCAGGGATTGGAAGTTTACGATACACCAGACTATTGTGCGGGAAGCACTTTATCTTTCTTTTATACATGTCATTGTTTCAGTTCGGATTTTAACAAATGTGAGCAAACCATTTGGACCACTCTGTACCAAAACAGTCAAATTCATATTTTGTTATTCCACTGTTGTTCAATTATTAGTTTGTACTGATTGTGATTTGTATCATTTCATTCATCTAAAAGTGTTTCAAATATTCCTCACACACATTTCTTTCTTTTGAGGGACCTAGAAGGAAAATTTGGTTAATTTAACACTGAGTAGTTAAAGTTTTTGATATTTACCTTAGTGCAGACTGACATATGCTAGTTTGGGGGTGGTGACCTCTAGGTTTTACCTCATGTAAGCATTACATTCTTGAAAATTGATATACTTTATAGCAGATCAAGCACATCTGTGGCATGTGCTGAATTCTTCTGTAGCCCGAACCCTTTCAGGGCCACCTAGAAGGGTCACTATAATGGAATTTGAGCTCTCAAGAAATTACTGTATCCTTTCATTCATCCTGTAATTCATTTATTCAGTAAGCTTTTCTTTTGTTGACTTTGCACCCAGCACTATAGTAAATACCAAAAATTGAATAGCAATAACAGCTTTCAAAAATTGTGCAAGGCACAAATAAATACTTTTCCCTTATTAAGTTCCATGCTGATAAGACCTCGTTCTTTTGGTGAATAGCACTCTTTTTGTTTGGGGATGTCTACTTTTCCATAAAATTAAATAGTAGTTAAAAAGCTCTGAAAGAGGCAAGATGACAGTGGGCTGAGGTTGTTGGTGTATCAACCCCAAGGGAGTGATACGTTTCCTTTTTACAGCAGAATCTGGCCCATGTCTTTTGTGGTTTCCTTCACATCTTTGGGGTGGTTATGACTTCTCAGTTTTCCATCCTTAAACTGGAGTGCCTGTTCTCTTTTCCCGACCTGCTATCAGGTATGAGTGTTCTGAATGCACACTGCTCATGTATCAGACTTACATTACTGTCATTAACATGAAAAGAATTACAGCCTTGTGCCCCATGACCTCATTCTGTTTGCAGCTCAGTTGTCGAGTGTGTCATTCACAAATGCCTAAAGCCTGTTTATCCCAGGTATAAGCCTCAGGATTAAGAACTAGTCAATAAAACAAGAGCAGTATAAAATTAACTGTATCTAGCAAAGCAACCATTGTGACTCATTTTCATTTTGAAAGAAATAATTCTTTAAAAATGTAGACCCACATCTAATCCTTTTTTGTGCTTTTTACAGACAGTATCAATCACTTTATTATAATAGGATGACTTCTGCATACTCGCCTCCAGTGGCTCTTTTAAAGGTGTACATCCACTTCCAGCTGTTTTCAGACTAAAGTAGCCTCTAAACCAGATTACTTAGCACTTCAAATTATATATGAAAATCTTGTTTTGAGATAAACTACACAAACAACAAAAATTAATGGTATTTCCTTGACCTAAGTATTTGGCATATTTGAAGCCTACTTGATATAAACTAGGTAATTTCTTTATTCTGATAGACTGAGAAGGGTCTTTTTGTTTGTTTTTTAATTGGGCCTCCTGGGTAAAATGTATGTTCTGAAAATTAGAATTAATGCCCAAGTCTCAACTTTGTGTTCATGGTGGTGACGGGAGATAGTGAGCAAAGTAGACCTGATGTCAGGATGGACCGGGAGGCAGGTAGGAAGTGAGGCGGTTTTTTATTGAGGTGAAGTCCTGAGTTCATTGTTACTTTCTCTGATCTGAAGTACAGTTTCTTTTCATATTAAATAAAATAGTGTAAAGGTCTGTTTTAAATTATTGGTAGACTCTACAGATTACCCTCGTTCAGTGCCTAGTTTTGATGCTTTCAAAGAGAATTATATGTCCTTTGGCCACTTAGATACGCCACAGTAAATACAGAAAGCAATTATTTTAAATCAGTCTATTTTTGTAACATTTCTGTTTGTCAGCTACCCTTCATCCTTTCTTACACTATTAAATTAGCTTTACTGCAACATTCATGAGTAGCTGAGTAGAGAAAACAGGCCTGAGTCAGATAAGAGTTCAAACCCACTAACTGCTATAAACAGGCAAGGTGTTTAACTCTCTCAGAGCCTCAGTTTACTCATTAGTAAAATGTAGGAAATAAAACTTATGAAGGTTGGAGTATTGAATTAGGTAACTTGTAAAGCACCTCACACAGTGCCAGGCAGATAATAGACATTCAATAAATACTAGCTATGTGAATAAAGAATATTGCCTTGCCATATCAGTAAACAAAGGATGTTGCAGCCATCAAGCCATCATATTACAGCCACCCTGACAGTGCACCCTGAGGAGACTCAGGATGAGAAGCACAGGATACTGCCCCAGATAGCTGAAGTGCATATCAAAGGAATGATTTCAGTGAACCCAAACTTGCATCTCCCCATACTTAGAATAAGTCCAGAATTCCTTAACTCGAGACACCTGGTTTTCTTTAATGGTAATCTTTTGATGTTCCGAATACCTGGTCTTTATTGCAAAAACCTCTGTATATCCTGGCTCTCCCCCTTGCCTCTTCGGAGCAGTCTCTCAGAGTTATCTGAGATGCTGTGTCCCGAGCTTAAGTCCTCAGTTTTGTCCACTAAATAAAACATAACTCGACTTTTAGATTGTGCTTTTTTTTTTTCAGTTGACAGCTATTACAAGATGACAGAACAAATTTGATGATACTGCAGATGCTTGTGTGCTGTACTGTTTAAAAACCAGCTGGAAAGGACTTCAGAGTATCTCTAAGGTGAGGATAACACCTTACAGTGGTTGCAAAATTTAATTTAGATGAGAAAACATGTAGCATGCTTATTATAATAACCACCGTACATTATGCCAAGCGTTTACAGATATCATCTTATTTAATCTTTATAACAACCCAATAAAGTAGTTACTATTATCCCCACTTTATAGGAGAGAAAACTAAGTTTGACTTGCCCACTTAATTGCACTTTCAGTTGACAGATGGAACTGAGACGAAAAGGTGAAACTGATTTGTCTGAGTTCAGGTTAGTGAAGACGGAGCCTCAGAACCTAATTTTTAAAGGCTAGGATGTACTCAAATGCCCACACATTAAATGCAGACTATTCAAACCTAAAATCCAGATTTATTTCCCCTTGCACATTAGCAAAGTGTGCTACTCATTTCCCCTAAGGCTTAGAAGTAAAGAGATTGACTGGGGGAAAATAAAGAATAAAAGATGTAAATGTGTATGAATAAAGGCAAAAAGCATAACCCACAGCGCGATCCCTGTGGTCTCAAGGCTGACATTGGTCCTGACTGAGGCAGCAACAGGAGAGTTTAAGCTCCAGCAAGGAGGGGCCTACTGGGTTATAGGAACCCTGGCATGGAGACAGTTAACCCTGGGGCTTTGCGCCAGGCCCATCTCGGGCTCTGCGGACACTGGTTTGTTGCTCACACTCATTTCTTTACCCCTGGAGCCAGGCTTACGGCTGAATGCCTGCGATCCCCAGGGTTCTCTTTGCAAATCCCTGCTCAATTCCTAACCCTGTCCTCCTTAAAGCCTTACTGTTGTTACTCCATGCTACCGTTCTCTGTGGGGTCCTAATCCTCTTTAAAACTGATATATTTATACCTCAACAGCTCAGCGGTATTTAAGGGCAGGTCATGGGCAACTGACCTACATGAAAAGCCAATTGAATTTTAGATTCCTCTGCCAGAGGCTAAATCAAGTTCTATTTCATTCATATGGTCTGAGCACAGGTCCCCACAGCAGTGGATTGCATATGCTGTCTTCAGGTGTGATGAGATGGGGACAAGTTCGAAAAATCACTGGAGACCTCTTCCAGTGCTAAAATCCCATTATCTTTTCCCATCGACAAATATCTGCTAGGGAATTCCCTGGTGGTCCAGTGGTTAGGACAACACGCTTCCACTGCAGGGGGCACAAGTTCCATCCCTGGTTGGGGAACTAAGATCCCGCATGCCGCATAGTGCCGCCAAGGAAAAAAAAAAAAACAGGAAAAAAAATCTGCTAACCCGGGCATTCTCAAAGGAATCAACAGCTGTTGTCTTGTAAAATTAAGAGTAGCACATGTCAATTCAGCTCTGACTGTGTGTCAAGCACTTTGCTCAGTTACTCAACAAGTCTTGTTTCTGCCAAGAATTCCTTGTTTGTGCCAAGCACTATTCTAGGTTTTGGAAATTCTGCAGTGTATATGTTGAAGTCCCTCTCCTCAAGGATCTTAGATTCTAGTGAGGAAGACATGCTAGGGGAAAAAATAATAATAAGATCATTTCATAAGCAGTTAAGCACTACGAAGCAAATAAAGTAGGATAATGTCAGAATTACTTCAGTAGCTATTTGAGGTGAGGTTGGGAAAGTTCTCTCTGAGGAGGGGAGAATGTCAAGAAGGAGGCAGCCATGTGAGGGTCTGGGGAAGAGCATTCCAAGAAGCAGGACCCATCAGTGCTAAGGCCCAGTGAGTGTGGTGTGTCTGTGGATAGGGCAGAGCAACGTGAAGATGGAGTAGGAGGATCCTATAGTGCATCACGGCCATGGGAAGGAGTGTGGATTTTATCCTGAGTTTCATTGGGAAGCCATGGGAGGGTTTGGAGCAGGACAGTGATAGGACCTGATTTACACTTTAGAACACACTCCTCTGGCTGCTGGTTGTGGACTGGAAGGAGGGAGGTGATGGGAAGGTTGGGGCAGGAAGGCCAGTTAGGACTGCTGCAGTGGACCAGTGAGAGGACGTGGCCTGGACCAGAGCTGCAGAAATGGAGGGGATGGGAAGTGGTTGGATTCAGAATAAGTTTGGAGGTGGAGCTGATGGAATGACCTACTAATAGATTGAAATGAGATCTAAGAGAAAGAAAGGACTCAGGGATGACTCCTCATTTTTGGCCTAGGCAGCTAGATAAACGGTGATGCCATGACTGAGGTTGAGAAGGGTTGAGGAGGGATTTGGGAAGGAAATCAGTACTTTGGCTTTGCCTTGCTAAGTCTGTGATCTGAGTTGAGCTGTCCAGTAGACAGCTGGGCTCATGAATCTGGAATCTACAAATGGTATGTAATGTTGAGGGTGAATGAGCTCTCTGGGGAGAGCATGTGAGTAGATGGGAGAATGGTACTGAGGACAAGCCTGGGAAGCCCAAGCGTGAAGAGATTTGTTTAAAAGGAGGAGGGACTGGCAAAGGAGATGTGCAGTCAGTGAGATTGGAGTGAAATCAGACACATGTGGGTCCTTGAAACCTAAGGTGTTTGAAGGAAGAACTCACTTGGTGAGCTGTGCTGAATCTGCTGGCAGGTTGAGTAAGAAAAGTAGGTCATTTGTGACCACTGTAAAGCCTTCTCCATGGAGTGATGGGGATGAGTATCCAATTGGAGTAAGTTGAGGAGAGAATAAGAAATGGAGAGGATGCAAAACAGGTTCAGTTATCTACTGCTACCTTAAAAAATGCCCGACACTTCATGGCTTCATGACAACATCTACTCTGCATGCAGATCTGCAGTTTGGGAACACTGTCTGCTCCATTTGGTATCAGCTGGGGTGCTGGAAGGCCAGGCCTGGAGGCGTCTACAGGTTCACTGACTCCGTCAGCCTGGTGGTTGAGGCTGACTGTCAGCTGGAAGCCCTGCGTGTGCTCTGGGCTTCCCCACAGTATGGTGGCTGCGTTCCCCGGGCAAGTCCCGAGGGAGAGCCAGCCACAAACCCTGTCGCCTTTGATGACCTAGTCTCGGAAGTCACATAGTGTCACTTCTGCCCATTCTCTTCGTTGAGTACCATAAAGTCCCATCCAGCTTGAAGAGAGGGAGAAATAGACTCTTCCCCTTGATGGAAGGAACATGGGAGACCAGACCTACTGCTGTGCCAGTTTCGGAAAATAACATCTTCCACAAGGGGTTTTGTTGTCACAGGAGCCAAAGTTAGGACAGTGGCTGGAGGGGAGTAGGAGTCGGCAGGGCCAGTGGATCCAGTAGGCACAGTACCTAGGGCCCACAATATTTATTTTTCTTTATTTTCTTTTTGGCTGTGTTGGGTCTTCACTGCTGCACGCGGGCTTTATGTAGTTGCAGTGAGTGGGGGCTACTCTTCACTGCGGTGCGTGGGCTTCTCATTGCAGTGGCTTCTCTTGTGGAGCACAGGCTCTAGGTGCGTGGGCTTCAGTAGTTGTGGCACGTGGGCTCAGTAGTTGTGGCTCGCAGGCTCTAGGGTGCAGGCTCAGTAGTTGTGGCACATGGGCTTAGTTGCTCCGTGGCATGTGGGATCTTCCTGGACCAGGGCTCGAACCCATGTCCCCTGCATCAGCAGGCGGATTCTTAACCACTGCGCCACCAGGGAAGTCCCCGGGCCCACAATATTTTAAATTTCTTTTAAGTGTTTTAATTTTCAAAACCAGAAGAAAGAATTAATATAATGTAACCTAGACTGGACTGGATTATATTCATCTTTTTACCAATGAATGATAAAATAGCACTTTTAATATTTCCTTATTTAATATTTAATTATCAAAATTAATCTTGTGACCCATGAAGGCAAACGTGGGTAGGCCCAAAAAAGTCACAGTGGGATCCTGAATGTGGGATCAAGGAAGAATTTTTGTTTTGTTTAATCTTGTTTTCATAAAGGTGATATTAAAGCACATCTGCAAACGGGAATGATCCATTAGAGAAGGATAAATGGAGGGTGCAGAAGAGAAAGGGATTACTGTGGACATGAAGTGCTTGAGTAGGCAAAGGGAGGTGACATCTAGAAACCAAGTGGAGGAGCTGATAGGGAGAGAAGTAGGAAAGGGACGCTGCGTCCATCGAACCAGGAAGAGAGGCCGGGTATGCGAGCACAGGTGCCGAGAGGTGTGTCTGCTATAGGAGGATGAGGTGGTTGTCAGATGCATCTGCTTTTCTGTGAAGTGAAGGATGTGACAAGGTCATCAATTGAACGTGGGAGCAAGGGGAAGTTCTGAGGGCAGGAAGCGTGGTGGAAGAGTCATCTCGGGGAGAAGGGACTCAAGTCAGCAGAGGAGAGTGTGCAGTACAACTGTCTGGCATTATTTGAAGTGTGTGCGGCCAGTGTGATTTTCTGACTTTTTCCAGCTGTGTTCAGCCTCGGGTGCAGACGAGGTGTTAGTGCCTAATTAAGGGGATAGCTGTAGCCAGGGTCAGGTTTTGCCAAGCGAGTAGTTAGAGGGAGAGAGGGGCGCAAAGGTCAAGGTCATGGCAAGGAAATGACAAGTTCTGGGCTGTGTGTAAGGATAAGGAGGAAAGTGAGAATGTGACAGATGTTAAAAAGCATAGTGATAGATGGGTTGGAAGTCTCAACAGGGCTGGTGAGTTGCTGGAGTGAAGCTGTTAGTGTAAGTGAGTGGAAGGAGAGGCGATGACGGTGTTTGAACGTTTCAGACCATCAGTAGAGAAATTCATGGTAGCAAGGCCTCCGGTAGACATTCTCAGACTTCACGTGCCGTGGAAGCACCTGGAGAGCTTTTTAAAACACAGACTGTGGCCCCGCAACCCCAAGTTCCAGATTCACTAGGGGAGGAGGGGCCTGAGAATCTGCATTTCTAACAGACTCCCAGATGTTGCAGCTGCTGGCCCAGGGACCACAGTGAATGGGGGCCAAGGTGGGGTGGAAGTAAAGGTCTTGGGAACTGGGGAGATAAGAACCTTTGAGGCCAGAGTGGGAGGGACCAGCTGTCCACCTGATGCTTTGGGACGAATGGTGACGTCACCAGTGAATGATGACAATATGGACAAGTACAAGGTGGGAGGGTCCGATGTGGCCTCAAGGCCCTGGCATTTCTGAGGGAGAAAAGAGGAAAGGTAGAGGCAACAGCTGAACGAGGAGACCAGCCTTAACCTCCAGACCCAGAGGCACGTGGGATTTGGAAGAAAAACCCATCGGCACTTGAAAGGATGACAGAGGAAGCGGGGTTCCACCTTCAGGGATGGCAAGGAAATTAGAAGAACTTTGAGAGATTAGGGACGTCTGGAGGCAGGGAGCTGAGAGTGAGAGTGAGCGAGAACGAGCAAGAGAGAGAGAGACTGGAATGTACAAAGCAATTCAGGAATGAACATCCAGTGGGAAGCAGGCAGTGCTGCGCCTGAGATTATGAGACACACTGGAAGGACAGCCCCTAAAATCTCAAAAAAATTAGCGCTCCAGGTTTTCTGATTTCTTGGAGGTGTCATTTTTATATTCCATTAACATAAGCATGAGTATATAACTGATTCAAAAACAAATTCGCAGGACTTTCCTGGTGGTCCAGTGGTTAAGACTCCACACTTCTAACGCAGGGGATGCAGGTTCGATCCATGGTTGGGGAGCTAGGATCCTGCATACCGGGTGGCACGGCCAAAATAAATAAATAAAAATAATTTTCAAAACCAAATTCGCATGAACCTTTAATATAAAAGTAAGAGCCTTCAGAGATAAGTTAAGCCACGCTCCCAGATCCTTCCCATGTGTTTATACTTTGGAGAAAAAGTGGCAAGAGCCCTGCTGATAGGTCTTGGATGAAGAGTGTAGGAGGGAAGTGTTTGTACTTTAAACTGGGAGATGGAGAACCTCCAAGACTCAAGGGTGTGATCTGTAAAGGAGCTTCAGATATCGTGCTGGGGACTGAGCCTGGGGACAGAGGTGCTCACCCAGAGCCCTTCGCATTCATATATCCTTCTGCTTCTCATTAGGCCAAGTGAAGGGCGAGCCCCAGCTCACCAGTGATTCTGTTTTATGGGCTAGGAGTTGGCCTTGCTTCCTCTCTGGACTTCAGAGTCTCCTGTATCTCCAAGATGGGCCTCCCTGGAGCAGCATGGTGCCCAACGGAAAGGGACAGGGAGCACGTGTGAGATGGGAGGGTCTCAGCCTGTCTTCCCAACTCCCACTCCATCTGCCTACCTCTCAGTGTCCTCCCCTTCTCCCTCTTCAGAATCTGCCCGGCAGCTTAGTTGAGTGGTTGATGAGACTAAAGGGAGGGGTGAGGCTGGGGGAGCTTAGCTGACTGGAGGTCACACCTTACAGGGGAATCTTCTAATGATCTTAGGGCGCTTAGCTGGCCTGGTCCCGCCCCCTCGCTGCCAGCCCCCTGCACTGCCCATCCTGTTCTGTTGGCTAGGAGATGATGAAGAGCCTGGCTAAGAGGAGGAAAGGGAGGAAGAGGGCCCTCGCCTGAGGAATCCATTGGCAGAAGCCCGGGAGGAAGCACAGACCCTTGCTCCCTAACGTCCCCGGGAGCCAGGATGGGGCAGCAGTTCAGCGGGGAGGAGGCAGAGGAGAACGGCGCGGTGGACGTGGCGGAGCTCCAGGAGTGGTACAGGAAGTTCCTGGAGGAGTGCCCCAGCGGCACGCTCTTCATGCACGAGTTTAAGCGCTTCTTCAAGGTCGCGGGCAACGAGGAGGCCACCCAGTATGTAGAGGGCATGTTCCGAGCTTTCGACAAGAACGGGGTAAGGCGCCCTAAGGGGGAGGACCGCTGGCTCAGGTCTCATCCCGGTGCTAAAGGAGCATCCTCAGTGGGAGCTCCGTTCCGCAGTCCTCCTGCTCTTCCTCTGCTCTTGGTTTCTCTCCATCCCCTCTCGCCTTTTCTGTCTCACTGTTCCCCCAGACTCTTCTCCCCAGCATTCCTCTTTCCGGCTTCTCTTCCTCCCCTCCACCTCTCCTCTCTCATGTGACTGGCCTTCTTCCTGAGAGCTGAGGGGAGACTCTGCAGAAAGGCGCACAGTCCAGCCCTCTCTGCGTGTATTTATGGACAGGGCTCCGTAGCCGGAGGACCTGGTTTTTCCGCACCCACCAGAGCACCCCTCGCTGTAAAGATAAGGGGCTCCAGAGCTGCCCTAAATGGGCGGAGCTATCTTGGAACAGGTCGTGAGCGCCCCCTTGTTGGGGTCCTTCGAATTGAGACCGGTCAGCTCTTCCCACCCGGGAAGCTGGAGGAGGCTCCTTCCTGGACTTGGAGGTTGGACGGATTATTGCAAAAACCCCTATCTACTCTTCAAGCCATAAAAGATGCCATGAAATCATCCATCCACAGGGTTTCTTCCAGCCCTTGGATGGCACCAGGAGCTAAGAAGATGATATATTTTGTAAATGCGCACCTGGGAATTGAATTCAGACATTGAAATCCCTTCATTACTTAAGGCCATCCAGTCCAGCGCCTCCACAGTACTTTAAACCATTAGGTTTGCCTCAAATACCTATTTCAGTCCCCCAAATTGAGGGGGAGGTGGGTTGGACCTAGATAATTAATCTGGAGAAAGCGGTGGGTATCCCACTTCTTTGTAGGGGGAGAGCTTCACTTTCTAGAGAGAGTCGCTGGGAACCCTTCTTCGGGTCCCAACCCGACCCTGGTACCGGTCAGTGCACATCTCCTCATCGCCTGTAGGGGGCGGGAGGGCGGGGTCAGCGTCATTCCCTGCAACAGAAACCTCCTTGGAGATGAACCCTATCTCAGGGCCCAGAGTGAGCTTCAGCCTTCTCAAAGCTCCTCTCCACAGGCGCCTCTGAGGCAGCAGCAGCCCTGGCAGGGAACAGGCAGAGGTTGTTATTCCAAATTCAGTGAATTGATTGACCAAGATCATATACTCAGGGATCCTGAGTCCCAGGCAAGTGCTCCTGCCCAGAGAGCAGTTTGTTGGTTTTTTTGCAGAGAGAAAATGATTTTTCTAAGTGTTGAATATCACAAGAAAAGTAAATAAATAGATTATATATAGCAAGAGTCACTATCATAGATTTATCAATCTTCCTCAAATTCATTTAAAATTCAGTATAATAACAATTCAAGATCTCAAAGGGATTATGAAGCCCCTGGGAATAATATGGCTGACCTCTTATACCTAATCCCCTCCTATAAATCAGCATATAATATTCATCAGTTGTTTTTAAAACAACCTTTTAATTTTGGTATGATTTTAAATTTACAGAAAAATTATAATAGTGCAATTAATTCCCATGTACAATTTATCCAAATTCCCCAACTGTTTACATTTTGCCTCATTTGCTTTACCATTCTCTCCGTGTAATGTATTATGTATTTATGTATATATACATACACATAATATATACATATATGTGTATATTGTGCATATAAATATACATACATATTTTTTAGAGAAAACTATAGACATCACAACCTTTTACCCAAGTATTCTAGTGTGTATTTTCTAAGACCAAGGGCATGCTCTTTTTTTTTTTTTTTTTTTTTTTGCATTACGCGGGCCTCTCACTGTTGTGGCCTCTCCCGTTGCGGAGCACAGGCTCCGCGGCCATGGCTCACGGGCCCAGCCGCTCTGCGGCACGTGGGATCTTCCCGGACCGGGGCACGAACCCGCGTCCCCTGCATTGGCAGGCGGACTCTCAACCACTGAGCCACCAGGGAAGCCCCCAAGGGCATTCTCTTAACCTAGTAAGTGATCAAATCAGGAAATTCAACAGTAATAAATTCTGTTATCTAATCGACAATCCATATTCAAGTTTGGTCAGTTGTCCTGGTGACATCCATTATAACCTTTTTTTTTTTTTGGATCACACATTGCATTTACTTGTCCTGTCTCTTTCTTAGCCTTTAATTTGGAAACTTTAATCTCAGCTTTTCTTTATCTTATTTGACTCTGACATTTTCGAAGACTGCAGACCAGTGATTTGGGTTTGTCCCATGTTGCCTCGTGATGAGATTCAGGTTACACTTCTGGCAGAAATGCCCCAGAAGAGATGCTGTGTCCTTCTGAGTGCATCATGTCAGGGGGCACATGATGTTGGTTTGTCCCATTAGTGGAGTGGTTCACTTCGATCACTTGGATACGTGGTGTTCTGCCAGGTTCCACCACTGTAAAGTGACTATTTTTCCTTTGTAATTTATAAACATCTTATAGGGAGATACTTTGAGACTAAGTAAATTTCCTGTTGCTCATCAAGTGCTTATCCCCTGGGTTTGGCTTCAGCTGATAATTTTGTAACTCCACCGTCCCTTCTCTATTTATTACTTGGCCTCCTGCTGTAAGGAAGAGCATTCCAGGCAGGTGTTTTCAGCTCCTCTGTCAGGGACTGAGCCTTCTTTCTTTTCTCTTCCCACTTTGAGTCTCCAAACCTCCACCCGACTCTACTTTCCACCTTGGCACAGTCTTTGTATCAGCAAGTCTTGTTTCTAGGCAGTTGGTCTGAGATTTCTGGGGCAAATAAAAAGAGCTCATAGATCTTGCTCACACGTCAAAATCTGAGGTGGTGGAAACAGGGTTTTGGTAGAGGCAAGGAGGTAGGAGTACCTGGTCTCTGCTGCTGCTACACCCCCTCCTGGTGGTGGTAGTAACACTCGTCTCTGGTGCTTGCCTGTGATACACTGAATGGAAGAAAAGGGAGGGTGAAGCTCAAATGTCCTTCGGGATCCTTATGTAAGGAGTGTTGGGGGTCAGGGTTGGTTCACCAGTGCAGCCCGTTCAGGGAGAAACGAGGCAGGTAATCCCACAGAGCAGATCACGTTCCTGTCATTTCTGCTCCAGCTCTTGAGTAGACAGGCATTTCCATCATCTTGGGCCCCTGTGAGTAATTGAAGCTGATGAGAGCTCGTGTGCAATGGATGAGATTAGCCCCAGCTGGAAGCTTTCCAGAGCTGGTCTGGGGGGGGCGGGGGCGGGTGGTTTTTTTTTTAATTTTTTTCTATTTCTTTTTAAAATTTTTTTATTTTATTTATTTATTTTTGGCTGTGATGGGTCTTCATTGTTGCGTGCGGGCTTTCTCTAGTTGCAGCGAGCAGGGGCTACTCTGTTGCGGTGTGCAGGCTTCTCATTGCGGCAGCTTCTTGTTGCGGAGCACAGGCTCTAGGCGTGCGGGCTTCAGTAGTTGTGGCACATGGGCTCAGTAGTTGTGGCTCGTGGGCTCTAGAGCACAGGCTCAGTAGTTTGGCTCACGGGCTTGGTTGCTCCGTGGCATGTGGGATCTTCCCTGACCAGGGCTCGAACCCGTGCCCCTTGCCTTGGCAGGCGGATTCTAAACCACTATGCCACCAGGGAAGTCCCTAGGGTGGGGTGTTTGAAGTAAACTCGCAGGGGAGATCACTTGTCAGGAAGGGGCTGCTCTACAGTGGGCCTCAGGTAAGGCGCGGGGTCTTTGTGGAAACCGTATCACGGTGAGAGGATGTTACGAGAACAGAAAGTTCTAGACAAAGAATATGGGGGAATCTAGAGATCTGGAGAGTAGGGATTTGTCCGTGGTTTTTTTGTTTGTTGTTCTCCCCTTGGTGCTAGACACCAGGTTCATTTTGTAGACAGTAATAGACCTTGCATGGAGTAAGACATTTCTCCCAACCTGAAGAACTGGAGCAGCATGTAGCTTGAAAGGCTCTGCCACTTGCTGGGTCGGAATTTCTTGGGCAACTTATTCAACCTCTGAGTCTCTGTTTCCTCATCCATAACATGGGGATGACAGACCTGAGGGAGATGATGTATGTAAAACAGATGATCCCTACCAGCCTTATTTTTTTATTTTTATTTTTTGCGGTACGCGGGCCTCTCACTGTTGTGGCCTCTCCCGTTGCAGAGCACAGGCTCCGGATGCACAGGCTCAGCGGCCATGGCTCACAGGCCCTGCCGCTGCACGGCATGTGAGATCCTCCCGGACCGGGGCACGAACCCGTGTGCCCTGCATCGGCAGGTGGACTCTCAACCACTGCGCCACCAGGGAAGCCCCCTACCAGCCATTTTGCACACATTTTCCTACCCAATTCTTATTTTAAAAGAAACCTAACATCTATTTTTAGTAAGCTTAATAAATAATAATTACTAATGAAAGTAGCCTTTTAAAGAACAATTATCACATTGTACACCTTAATCTTACACAGAGTTCTTTAAAAGGCTATTTTGCAATTATTACCTCAGTAGAGCTGGGGAAGAAAAACTGGACACAAGCCAAATAACCTTCAATGAGCAAACAGAAAGCAAACTAGGGACCATTCATACAATGGTTCACCATACAGTAATAAAAAGGAAGGAACGGTTGATGCATGCAGTGACTGAGATGAATCTCCAGGGCATTGTGCTGAGTGAAAAAAAGAGTTACACATTATATGATTCTATTTATATACCATTCTCAAAGTGAAAATATTATTGTGATGGAGAACAGATCAGTGGTTGTCAAGTGTTATGGTTGGGGGAAAGATGTGACCCTTAAGAGGTAACACAAGAGAGCTTCTTTGTGTTGAGAGTTATTCGCATCTACACGTGATAAAGTTTTGTAGAACAAGTGGGGAGGGGCAATTCAGGGGTGAGGGGATTAAGCGGAGCAAACTTACATATGAAATAAGCTACAAGGATATACTGTACAACACAGGGAATATAGCCAATATTGTATGCTCCAATAAATGGAGCGTAATCTTTAAAAATTATGAATCACTGTATTGTACACCTGGAATTTATATAATATTGTACATCAACTATATTTCAATTAAAAAATTCATAGAGAGGCTTCCCTGGTGGCGCAGTGGTTAAGAATTTGCCTGCCAATGCAGGGGACACAGGTTCGAGCCCTGGTCCGGGAAGATCCTACATGCCATGGAGCAACGAAGCCTGTGCGCCACAACTACTGAGCCCGCATGCTGCAACTATTGAAGCCGCGTGCTTATAGCCCGTGCTCTGCAACAAGAGAAGCCACCGCAGTAGCCCCTGCTCACCACAACTAGAGAAAGCCCACGCGCAGCAACGAAGACCCAACGCAACCAAAAAAAAAAAAAAAAAGACTACTGGTGTGGGGCGAGGAACACCCAGCTACTGCTAAGAATCTACCCTACAGAAATTACCAGAGACATAAGAAAAAATACATATGCACAAAGATGTTCATTGTGTCACATAAAATATCAAAACCATGTTCAGCAAGAGGGACTTCCCAGTATTCCTCTGAAAAAGAAGAAGAAAAGGTATGATTTAAAATAATTTTGAAGGCATGGGAAATTTTAACATAAAAATCCGGGAACTAAAATTATAGCTACAGTCTAACCTCAATTAGGTAAATATATTGTGAGGAGTGTGGAGGACCAGAAGGAATTATATAAAGGATGTTGAATAAAACTCTTCAGGTAGGCTTATCTTATTTTCTTGGTTTTTCATTAGGCTTTTGCTGTTTCCCTCATTTGGGGCCGTGTTCTTCTGTTGCTCAAACGTTGCCCACCCAGGCACCCCTTGAACCGGGGCTGAGTGACCTGACCCAGTGGGACAGTGGGGCTCTGGGCCAGCAATGCCATTTCTGATTACAAAGTCATGGGAATGGGCTTCGCTGGTGGCACAGTGGTTAAGGATCCGCCTGCCAATGCAGGGGACACAGGTTCGAGCCCTGGTGCGGGAAGATCCCACATGCCACGGAGGAACTAAGCCTGTGCACCACGATTACTGACCCTGTGCTCTAGAGCTCGCTAGCCACAACTACTGAAACCACGTGCCACAACTACTGAAGCCCGCATGCCTAAAGCCCATGCTCCGCAACAAGAGAAGCCACCACAATGAGAAGCCTATGCACCTCAACGAAGAGCAGCCCCTGCTCGTCACAACGAGAGAAAGCCCGCGTGCAGCAATGAAGACCCAACACAGCCAAAAATTAAAAAATAAATTAAAATTTTAAAAAATTTATATTAAAAAAAAAAGTCATGGGAATGACAGACACTCCTGGGAGAGATGACAATTCCAATTTTTGATTTGGAGCGCTGAGATCCTGACCCTGAAATACGTGAGGTCCTGCTTTCTAATTTCCTGTCAAAACTGTGTTAGTCTCAAATTCAGACTTAATCATTTCTTCATTGATTCATAAATATTTATGAGACTCTGGGTGGAAGTGGCATTGTGCTAAGCATGGAGGAGGGATAAAAGCAATGTAAACCCCTCTCCTTTCTCCTGGAGCATAGACTGTAGCTAGAGAATGAGACACACGAAACACTTAAGGGTAGAATAGATGGTAGGTGCTGGGAGTGTCGGAAGAGGGAGAGGGAGATCATTGTGGCTGAAGTGGTGTGAGAAGGAAGGCTTCCTGGAGGAGGGGACCCTTGAGTTGAGCCTTGAAGGACAGATAGGAGTGGGTGAGCATGGAGACTGGGAGTAGATCCCAGGGCAGAGAATAGCACAAGCACAGATGCAGAGGCACACGGAATGCAAGGAGGAGGCAAAGCCCTGAGTTTACAGGGATGGTGGCCTAGATTAGGGCTCACACCTGCGCTCCAGGGAGATACGGCAGCGGGCGGGAGGGAGCCTCACAGCTCCCACTCCCAATGCAGGACGACACCATCGACTTCCTGGAGTATGTGGCAGCCCTGAACCTTGTGCTGAGGGGCACCCTGGAGCACAAGCTGAGGTGGACCTTCAAGATCTATGACAAGGACCGCAATGGCTTCCTTGACCGCCTGGAGCTGCTGGACATCGTGGAGGTCAGTGTCTACTCAGGGCGGGGATGCAGGGCAGGCACCTGGGCATGTGGCCCCGCTGGGCTGTGAGTGCTGGCTGCTGAAGTGGGGGCCCCTGGTGCTGGGGGTGGGAAGGGGCATTGGAATCCTTCAGAGTGTGCTTTCCGACCACAGTGAAATTAAGCTAGAAATCAATTACAAAAAGAGAATGAGAAAATCCCCATGTGTTTGGAAATTAGGCAGTCCACTTCCTAGTACTCCATGAATCAAAACAATAATATCACACATACACACAAGTATTGTGAACTGAATAATAATACAAACATAACAAAACTTGTGGAATGCAGCTAAAGCTGGACTTGCAGAAACATCGGTAGCCTTTAAATGTATATACTAGAAAATAAGAGAGGTTGAAAATTCAATGATCCAAGAAGTCATCTCAAGAAATTAGAAAAAAGAGTAAATTAAGGCCAAAGAAAGCAGAAGAAAAGAACTAATAAAAAGCAGAAAGTAATGAAACAGAACACAAATGCATAAGGAAAGTCAAGAAAAGCAAAAGTTGGTTCTTTGAAAAGACTTAACAAAGCTGATTGACTACTAGCAAGAACAAGCAAGGGGTAAAAAAAAGTACTACAGCTCAGACTCTGCACGAAACCTGCATTAGCCTATTACTCCCCAGAACTGCACTCCGAGGAGGGGATTGTTGGTCCATTTTACAGATAAGGAAATTGGCCCGTGGAGGTTGTGTGGTTTTCCCAAGTTCATCCACCAGGAGGTGCTGGGCTGCCTGTAACCCCTGAGCCTCCCAGCACCGTTAGTGGGGCCTGCTTTGTGCCAGGCGCTGCATTGGGCAGTGGGGACCCAGAGGGCACACCTCTGTCCTCAGAGAGCCCCAACCAAGGACTAAGGATGATCCTCACATTCGTCTGTCTCTTCCCCGTTTCACTTCCAAATGTTGCCTCATTGCCAGAAACAGGGCAAGGGAGACACCTGTGCTTTTCCCTCTCCCGTCATCCTATTTCACACACATACACACACATCTATAAATACACTAAAATCTCTTTTCCTCTCTGAATCTCCATTTCTTCCTCTGTAGTGTGGAGTTTAGACCATCACTGTGCCATCCACATCCCTCCTTAAAGGTTCTGGGTGCCAGCTCTGACACTCACAGTGGAAATGCCAAAGGCGTGGGGCAGAGGCGGTGTGTGAAGCCGGGAACTCCTCGGTTGGAATTAGGCCAGTGGGACCCTGAGGGAACAATGGGACCCATGGGTCACTTTTAATTTGGTCCCGTGGTCCTCAGATACACAGACTGGGGGGCAGCACTGGGGACAAGCTGCCAAGGGATGTGGGTCCTGGGGAGAGGGCAGGGTGTGCAGGGTCTTGTGGATACCGCCGGGTTCTCTCCCACAGTCCATCTACAAGCTGAAGAAAGCCTGCAGGGTGGAGATGGAGGCTGAGTGGCAAGGCAAACTGCTCACACCTGAGGAGGTCGTGGACAGGATCTTCCTTCTGGTGGATGAGAACGGAGATGGTAATGGGCAGAGAGGATGGTGGGGTGGGTGGGGGGCACGGCACCCATCCTGGATCACCCCACTTTCTATCCATGTGAACTTAGGCGAGGCCCTTCACCTCCTGACAGTGAGATGGGTGTAGAGGGGAATACATAAACTAACAAGGGTGTCACTAGCATGTGAGGTTTGTAAGAGTGATTAAAACTCCTGTGGGAGTTGCTGATGGAGGCCAGGCAAGCACAGTGGAAGAAGAGAAGCTTTGGAGTCGGGCAGACCCGGGAGCTACATTTACCCTCTCAGCCTGGTCTCAGTTTCCTCACCTGGAAAATGGGGCTAAGTACAGTTGAAGGGAAAAAATGGGGTCATGTACTTAAGAGCCAGCTACTTAGGCTCTCCTCGCCGTAGCTCAGAGCCCCAGCCCCAGGCTGTACAGGGAGGCAGCTGGCTGGGAACACACCCAGAAGAGCCCTCAAGAGCATTCTGAGGGTACCGCAGGCAGAAGTAAAATTTAAACTCACTTGCAAATAAAGTCCCTTAAAGAAACCCTTGAAGGTTCCAGGTGACTCCCGGAGAATCAGGGAATCGACAAGGCCCAAGCTTAGGCCCTGAGGCCGCAGGCTCATCTGTGTACAAGGTATAGGCATACCCAAGGAGAGAAGGCCTCACCTCTCACCCCCACCCCATTTCTTCCATTCCCCCTGTGACCGTCTCTCCTACCCCTTGTGCAGGCCAGCTGTCCCTGAATGAGTTCATTGAAGGTGCCCGTCGTGACAAGTGGGTGATGAAGATGCTGCAGATGGACGTGAATCCCGGTAGCTGGATCTCTCAGCAAAGGCGGAGAAGTGCCATGTTCTGAGGGCTCCGGGGTCCTGGGAGCCCTCCAAGACTCCAGGCTCACCAGGTTTCCAGAGCAGTGGGAGGGTCCCTGGCTCAGCCTGCTTATGCCCACTCTTATCCTGGCTTGGACTTCCTGGCATCCCCTGTGCAGGGGGTGGGGCTGAGTGGGGAGGGGAGGGGCCGTTGGTCTCAAGTGGCCAACAGGACCCGGTCCATTGGGAGGATTCACAGGGTGGTGAAGGGAACAGGCTTCCTCTCCCCCTTCAGCTGCTCCTGGGAAAGCTAGGCCTTGGCTAGGTGGTTGTGGGGTTCCCACAAATTCCTACATGGTTCATAGCTGGAAGCAGGGAAAACTGAGGGGGAGGGGCTCCCTAGATGAACTTAGCAACGAGAATGCCCGCACAGTGTGAAACTGACTAGTGGAAGGGAGGGGCTGGCAGGTGGTGTTGACTCTGAAGAAAAGGTAGGAACTGGGGAGAAGGGATGGATAATAATTACATCACCCCAGGATCCTGAGGAATGTTCATGGGAGGACTCTTGCCTCTTCCTCTCCAAGTTGTCCTTGCCAAGGGTGTCAGGAGGGAAACTTGCAGCAAGTAAGGCCGTGGTCTTCCTGCCCTTGGAGGGGGTCAGCTGTGCTTAAAGGGGCTGTTTCAGCTCTGCCCTGGTGCTGCTCCCCCAGCCCCTGCTGCCAACCCCTCCCAACCCTCCTCTCCCCCTCCCTACCCCTCATCCCTCACACTCACCTCTCCAACCCCCGCCCCCAGAATGGACCCTCCACAATTCCCCGTCACAGGCCCACAAGCCAAATGTGTCTCCTTAAAGGATGGAGAAAACTTTACTCTGTCTCTGGAGAGAACTGGGGCCTGCCAACCTGGGTTCTAGGCCAGGCTTTGCCTCCAACTGCTGTGTGACCCAAGACGGCCATTTCTTTTCCCTAACCTTGGTGTCTCATCTGCACGGTGAGCAGGTTGGGCTAGACAAGCAGTTTTCAGATTATTATTTTTTTAGATGTGGAATTCTTTTTTTTTTTGGCCGCAGCTGCACAGCTTGTAGGATATTAGTTCCCCGACCGGGGATTGAACCCAGGCCCTCGGCACTGAGAGCGTGGAGTCCTAACAACTGGACCGCGAGGGAATTCTCTAGACGTGGAATTACTTTTGTTATACAAACTCTATGTGCAACCCCAGTACATAAACTAGATTAAAAGGCAGTCACTCTGGGGCTTCCCTGGTGGCGCAGTGGTTAAGACTCCACCTGCCAATGCGGGGGACACGGGTTCGAGCCCTGGTCCGGGAAGATTCCACATTGCCGTGGAGCAACTAAACCCCTGCACCACAACTACTGAGCCTGCGCTCTAGAGCCCGCGAGCCACAACTACTGAGCCCACACGCCACAACTACTGAAGCCCGTGCGCCTAGAGCCTGTGCTCCGCAACAAGAGAAGCCACCGCAATGAGAAGCCAGCACACCGCAACGAAGAGTAGCTCCCGCTTGCCGCAACGAGAGAAAGCCCACGTGCAGCAACGAAGATCCAACGCAGCCGTAAATAAATAAATAAATAAATAAATGCATAAATAAATTTATTTAAAAAAGAATCCGCCTGCCAATGCAGGGGACATGGGTTCAAGCCTTGGTCCGGCAAGATCCCACATAACACGGGGCAACTAAGCCCGTGCGCCACAACTACTGAGCAGCGAAGAGTAGCCTCCTCTCGCTACAACTAGACAAAGCCCGCACGCAGCCACGAAGACCCAACGCAGCCAAAAATAAATAAATAAAAGGCAGTCACTCTGGTTGCATGGGGTGCTGAGGAACTCAGAAAAGGAAGTCCTGTGACTAGATATGTTTCTGTGTTGTATGAAGAATAAAACTAACTTGTAGAGCCTGTGATTTCATGGGCATTATATTCACATTAAAGTTTCCTTTAGAAACAAATGTAAGGTAAAAAAAAATAGTTGATTAAAAAATAATAGTAATCCAGCTGGGACACAGATATGCCCCAAATCATGAAGATGGTATGTGAATGAGGTTGGGGATATGTCCCAGTTCTATCCAAATACCCTCCCAGCTTTGACCTCCAGGATTTCCCAAGAGGCAGCCACCAAGAGAAGAAGCAGAAATGTTAACTCCCTTTTTTTCCAGGTTGCCCCAGGCATTGAGCTCCACCTTTCCTCCATGTCTGTGCTCCGGCTGGCGGCCCCCGGCTGACTTCCCAGTCTGAAGTGGTTCACATGATGGACAGGACGGTGTGAGCGAAACACACCCTCTCCTCCCCGCGCAGGGGGGCTCTCTGCAAGCTGGGGATTTACCCCGCTTTCCGCTTGTTTGCTCCTTCCCACCCCTGGATTTTTTTTTACTCCCTGAACTTCCCCCACACCCCACTGAAGCGAAGACTCAAAGTTCAGAAGGAAAGAGCATCTTTGAAAAAATGGTCATAACTGCTCCAGCCTATGTCTCTCCCCAGGTTCTTGGACGGTGTTCCTAAAGTTGGGGTGTGCAAAGAATGGGGATAGAGCCCACCTATAACAGACTGTTCCACTTCCCAACTGGCTGTCAGGTGTCACTGCAGCAAGAGGGATTTAGGCTAGATCAGGGATGGTCAGGACACTTGCCATAAACAATTGAGTCATAATCCTGTGGGGAACCACGTGGCACCATGTGCCACCGAGGGACCAGCAGGGGAAGAACGAGGGTGTTGTGCAGTCACTTCTGAATAAATATGGATTTCCTCTGGATAAAGGAGCACTGTCTATAGTATCATATTTTATTATAATGATGCTTGGCCTGTGAGTTCTTTGAAGATGAGAACTGTCGTCTTCTTTGCATGTCTAACATCTAGCATTAATACAAAGTAGGTGTTCGATAAATGCTTGTTGAAGGGAGGAACGAATCAACACAGACCACACAAGTACACTCTGGGATGCTGGGGGCAGGATGGGTGTGTGATACAGCACCCAGATGGAGGCCGCAGCCACCAGATCTGTGTGATCCCATTAGAGTCCCGGGAAAGCCCACCTCTGCATCAAAGCTTCTCTGTCCAGAAGAGTGTGGAACTGGAGAAGCTCAGTGGAAGAGCTGGTAAAAGCTGGGGGAGGGGCCAGAAGGGGCTGGGGAGGAGCCTGAGGAATGTTGAAGGCTTCCCCCAGCAGGGAGCGGTCACCACCAGCTGAGTCGCACAGAGGGTTCAGGAACCCTCCTTCCCTGTCCCCTGCTCTGAATCCCCACCCCTGCCCCTCTGCTGCCACCATGTGCCCCAAGCAGGTGAGCTGAGCCTTTGAGTTCAGAAGACTCCATCTAGTATTAAAACAACGAGACACCAGGCACCACCACACACACGTCCCCAATACAGAAACAGCAGGGCGGTGGGCTCAGCCGGCTGCTTCCGCTGCCTCACTTTCCCTGCCACCAGCTCCCTCCTCATCCTGCTCTCCATTCTGGAGCCTGCGCACAATGCGGGTAAGGTCCAGGCTTCGGGTTAGCGTGTCCAAGAGCATCTTGTCCTTCTGGACGCCCTCCATGAACTCCTCCAGGGAGAGTTCCCCTGGGGTAGAGAGAAAGGGCATCATGGGCAGGGGGTGTTCACATCTGCTGTCCGGGGCCCAGAGCAGCAGTCTTGTAAGGGGGGACAGAACCAAGGCTGGAGGAAGTGGCTGTGAATGGGGCTGGCCAAGGAGCCAGAGACCAAAGTCTGGTGCAGGCATCCCCAAAAGCCAGCTCTGTGGCCGGGGCGGAGGCAGGCAGAGGAGGTGGCCAGCAGCGGCCCTTTTGTGCCTCCCTCTCCCCTTCTGCCCTCTCCCCTGGGGACCCTGGTGACACCCCCAGTGACCCCTCCCCTGGGGACCCCCAGCGCGGCCTCACCATCCCCATTGACGTCAATCTTGGAGAACACTGTATCGGTGAACTCCTCTGCGGTCATGGTCGAGTCGCTGCAGGGGTTAATGGTTCGGATGGCCTGGGAGGGAAGAAGTGAGATGACCCGTCCTAATTAGTCTCAGCGGTAGGAGAGGGGCAGAGCGAGGGGCAGGCTCCCAGCAGCGTGTGTGTGTGTGTGTAAGGTGAGTACAGATCAAGGTGCCCAGCAGCGTGTGTGTGTGTGTGTGTGTGTGTGTGTGTGTGTGTGTGTGTGTGTAAGGTGAGTACAGATCAAGGTGCCTGAGGCTTCAGGCAGAGCTGGGACTGTGCTTCGACCTATCTTGGTACAGATGAGGAAACTGAAGCCCAGAGAGCAGAGGAAACCTGGCCCGGGTCACGCAGCTGGTGAAGGCCGAGCCACCCAGGGGAAGTCAGTCCCAATCCTGTCCCCTTCCTAGCACGCTGTTCCGCCATCTTAAGACCCAGCCCCAGGCTCTCAGCTCTGGCTCCGCCCCTGCCCGGCCCTCTGCACCTGGAGTTACCCGGATGATGGTGAGAAGCTCGTCGCGGTCGATGCATCCGTTGCCGTCCACGTCGTAGAGCTTGAAGTACCAGCGCAGCTTCTGTTCCACCTTCCCCTTGAGGACAAGACTCAGCGCCGCCACGTACTCCATGAAGTCGATGTAGCCGTCCTGTGTGAGGGGCGCGGCCGCCTGAGCCCCGTCTGCCTGGGCCCCGCCCTCGGAGCCCCCGGGGCCCCAGGATACGCTGAGGCCAGGCCCGGACCCACGCCCCGCCCCCTTGGCGCCCACCGGCTTACGCCCTCCTGGACGCCCGTTATAGCTCACCCTACCTGCCGCAGGATGGTTTATCAAATTTGATAAACCAGTCCCCCCTAGAGTATGAATGGCTTATGCTATCCCTTCACAGGTATTTTGGTTCCAGCCGTCACTGGCTGCTTCCCTGTGATCCTCAAACTTCAGCCTTCCAGTTTGGGGTGTGGGGTGTAAGAGTGTGTAGGTGGGAGGAGAGACAAGGACTCCCCAGGGATGGGGGCGTGGTTTGGATGAGCTCTAACTAACCGAGATAAGGGGTACAGGAAGATGGGGAGGCACCGAGCGCCTTTCTCATTATTCTCTTTATTCTTTGAAACTTACCAAGCACCTACTACGTGCTGTGATAGGCTGAGGATTCAGAACTCCGTAAGATAGAACCCTGTCCCGATGGGAGCGCAACGTTGAGGACGCAGGTTTGAATCCTGGCCTCACCCTCTCAGATATGTGGGATCTGGGACAAAGGATTCAGTATGTCTCTGGACCTCGATTTCCTCATCTGTAATAGTTATAACAGCTGCCACCTGCATGGGATTGTTGTGGGCTTAAATGAGTACATGTGTGTAAGGCACTCAACACTGCCTGGCACATAGTCATCACTCAGTAAATGTTAGCTATTGTTATTACCACTATACTATTACTACTATTATTATTACTATTATTATTATCAAGAGATCATTGTGCCATCATGATGTATATTCAGTGACAGCACATCTGGACAGGACATTATGGACTCACAGAATAGGGGAGCACCCAGGCAAGGGCAGCAGGGAG